GAACATGTATCGGACATGGACATGTGTCTTGAACGCGGGTGCAGCGTGTCCCTTTTTTCTTTATTTTTTGTTAAAATAGGTTGACACGGGTGGGTGTGGGTCAAAATGGGTGAGACACGGGACGTTGCGTTTTAGGCCTTTTTCAAAGTAAATGCCTTTATCATGCTGAATTTTGGGCATTTTACTTCATTCATCCTTTCCTTTCATTGCCGTCATCTTCCAAACTTTCTTTCAACTACCTGAGCATTCCACACCAAATCAGTGGGGCAGTAGAGCAAGAAGAAAGAGAAGAGGATGTTGCCACACAACAATGGAGAGGGAGGAAGAAGTCGACGGTGAAATAAGGGAGGGAAAGGACCAGCGAATCAAACCTCTTGCGGTAACAGAAAACAACTCCTTGCACACTAATGACGTGCAAAAGGAATAGAGGAGAAAGGATTCGAGCACCATAGCACGATATGAATGACTCTCATAGCATCCTCGTTGGTGAATTGTAAGGATAGGGGAGGAGGGATGATGGAGGGATTGACTCTCTCTCTCTATGCTAGCCAAACGATGCTTCAAGAAAATGAAGGGGAAGAGATGAATGTGAATCTGATGCATTATTATTATTATTTTTAGGGCATTTTACAAATTTCTTGAGGTAGAAGCAAAATAAAATTCCCAGATATTTTGGGTTACCCTAATTGTGTATCTAAATATTTAATATTTAATTATTTATATAACTATATTTGTATCTTAAAATTTTTAAAAGTTGTTATATTTGCATATCATGCCATACCATATTCAACAATCATACTTGTATCGGTGCTTCAAAGGTGGTTGTTTATGAAGTAGTGTGGAATAGTATGGGGCAGGAAATTGACCTAAGTCTCCATTTTTCGAAGTTTAATAAAAAAAAAAAAGGGATTGTTGTTTGGTAGATGTAATGTCAATAATGTTGTAAGGTGGATTTCAAGGATGAAATGTTTTAACTTTACCCTTCAGATAGAAGAAAAGTAAAGTGGGGATAAATAGATGTTAAAGGGTAATAGAGTAAATGAAGAATTACTAGGAGCTCTACCCATCCAAGCAATGGTTTGATTTTTTTCCCCCAATTACCTTACTTCATTTTGCTTCACGTCATTCCATCCTGGCAAACAAACTTTAAGTATGACATGCTTGAAGCCTTAATTTGTTGTCATGGATTATTTTGGCCTGAGACCTTGCTTGTATAGAGTTTTGTCTCAACGTCAGTTGATAATTTCCTTTTGATATCTTGTCGCTGTTCATTTGAACGGACAGTCAGTAGGTGAAAGTCATTTTGTTAATAATTGTTAGTAGTTAGTCAAGAATGAAATTCTGAAACCCTTGATCTTCTTCTGACAAAGGTCTATCCTTCTAGTCTTACGACTTGGAAATAAAATGTAAATTTGGGCATAGTTCCCAGGAATCGCTCATCCACTCGCTTTTCTCCAAAAAGAAACAAGACAGCACTTTGATTTGTTTGATCGTATGTTAGTAGTTAAATGAGCTTCACACATTTTTCCTTTGTGTAGAATGCCTGGTCGGGAGGATAAATTGCAGGAACCACTATTAGTGGACGAGCACTTGCGCGGAGATGGATCAGAGCATCGATGTTGAAAGCGACGGCTAATGTGTAAGCTTATGTGCTGACGGTTGCATGCTTTTTGGAGCAAGTTGATTTATTCTAGTTTGTTCTGATGCGTTTAGTTCTTGCTTGCTTGTACTCTGCTTATCTCTCCCTGATTTTTAATACTTCATGTAGAGTTTATTTGGCGGAATATCCAAATTCTGAATTGTCGTAGTCAACTTCTACCCCATTTCTACAACGTATTTTCCTTCACGTCTTTTAAAAGGCACTGAAAATAACCTATCTTTACTTCCTAATTGCGAAAAAAACTCGTGGTTTTGACCGAGATTTCCGATAAAATCTGTTGATTTTTTGCAAGGTCGTTGAACGGATAGAGCTTGCTTGTTCAACTTATCTTGAAAACTAGGCCAATAACTTGCAAGTTGAATATCACCATCATCATCATCATCATCATTATTATTATTTCTGGATTGGGGATTGGACTAAAGGAGAAAACGAAGAAAGATTCAGTATGATTGCATATTAAATCTAATTTGAAATTCAATATAGTGTCCATTTAAGTTTCAGTTTATATCTAGTAAAAATATATTTGTGAGATTTAGCTATTTATTAGATTTAGTAAAATTACACCCTAAATGTGATTTAAATATATTTTTAAGAGTTATCCAAACAGATCTGTAATTTGAGAATAATATGTATTTGGTCAAATTATTGACTTGAATGCTTGTACAAATAAGGATCCAGTAATGTGTATATCCAAATTAGTTAATTAGAATCGATTATCCACATATTTTCAAATAATATGCATTGACATGCTTTGAACTTTGAAGTATAAACACTGCTTCTTTCCTAAGAGATCGGAACTTTCTAGACCTGCAATAATTTATTTACTTTTCCCCATTATCATTTGCGTGCCTGAATTTGGCATTTTGCAGTAAAGATATTCCCAAGTTTTGAGCATTGTTTTAATTGTCACCTTTACAAAATCATTTGAAGCATAGTTGTTAAATTTTTAAATTGACTTTTTAAATTTAATATTTTCATATTTTTAATTTACAAAATCATATAACTCATTTATAAATTCAGATTAGATATAAATTTAATTAAACTCTCGAGTTTACTATTTTTTACATTTCTAGCTTATAAAATTATGTTAACTAATTTATAAATTCGAATTAGATGTAAATTTAGTTAAATTTATTAAGCTCGTTAATTCCTTTTAGTTAAATGAGTTAAATATATATTATAAAAAATTCAGTTTATAAATATTATAGGACTTGATTCAAAAGGAAAAAAAAACTCAAAATGTAAAAACTAATATTAATAAAAAAGAAAACAAAAATATCAAAAATAAAATTTTCTATTTTAAAATTTTCATATTTTTTATATGATAATTTATCAATATAAATAGGTTTAATTTTAATAATTTATATTTTAAATATATTTAAATTAAATTATGATCATATTTTAATAATTATTTGTTAATTAAAGTAAATTCTTATGGATTTTTTATCTGAGTTTACATTTCTGTCATTAATTTACTTAAACTTAAGAATTTAACAATCTTACTCAGGAGGCAATAAAAATTTTAAACTTATTGCTTAGTTTCTAATTATATCCATATTTTATTTACGTTTTCAGTACATTAAATTTTGGGACTCTTCATGTCCTGATCCCATGGGGGCTGAAGACTGATATTTTACTTTACATCTTCTGATCTTATTACTTCCCCAATGAGTAAAATAAAACAAGGAAAAATAGGAGGAGGAAAAAGCAACTTACTTTTTTTCATATCTTGTATATCTTTCTCATGATAACAAAATCATTCATTTTTTGTTCTTGAAGCCAAATAAGCATTTATTTTTAGGGATTACCATCGATTTAATCATAAAATATTCGAATGATGTACGGAAGTAATGTGCACCAAGGGGCGAATTATTCCCGATATTAACGGTAGGGGAGCACCTGGGATCTAATGTAAGGCATTAATCCCTTGCTATTTTTCCCCTTAAGTTTGAAACTTTTATCATGAAAAAAAAATTAGAGAAAAAATAACAGTAGAATTTTTTTTAAAAGGCGTAAAGTTTATTATTATTTCTAATTTTTTTATTTTTAATATTTTCCTCTTATTTTTTGTTTATCCAAACTAAGCCTTAGTTTGCCACCAATTATCAATAGCCCACTACCATAATTTCATTATGAAAATTCTCTATTTTTTAGAACTCCATCAAGGAAGGAAACCTTTATAGATGTGAAAGTCAATTAATGAGGATTTTTTTTAGGCCGAAAAACTAATTAGGTTTGGCTTCTTAATATAATTTCAATTTCAATTTCAATAGTTAAAAATAAAATATCGCATAACAATAACATATAACGGCACGCAGACACATTTCCCACGCATGTGTGCGTCTCGTGCCTGTTATTAGGTGCATTAGCTCTTCCATGCAAAAAAAAAAAAGATAAAAAAGAAAAAGAAAAATAAGGAAGAGAAATCTAGTATTAAGGAATAAGACTAGAATATAAACAGATTAAAGAATAATAATACTATAATTGATTCAAAAAATTATTAAAAAAATTCTCGAACTTTAACAACTTTTTTTGGGATAAAAATATGCAGTAGGTTCCACTGACTTTAATAGCTTTTAACGTGCAAGAGTTATCCCTAATCATCTTAAAAAATTCATCTAAGTTTGCGAAAAAGATCAATACTAATTACTTATTAATTAGTGTTAATTGAATGGATTTTTTTAATCAATTTTTTGAAAAGTAAGGTTTCTAAATATACTCAATGAGATTGATTAATTTTACATTTGATAAAAAGAACGTCTCGTAAATCTTAAAGGATGCCAAAGCAACATGTTAGTATCGGTTTTCTGGACGCTGCCAATAACATGGGCAACTAACAACAGAACACTATTTGCATTTTTTAAATCACTAATAACAAGATTAGGCTAACGCGATGGAATTTCCCTACAATATAATAATCATAAAGTGATTAGGCTAACACAATGGAGTTTCCTCACAATATAATAAAGAATGTTCCAACATACAACGAGCAAAACAAGCGTAAAATCAATACAACAAAACAAAGAGAAGATGAGGTAAAGCAAGAAGATAATTACAAGGTCAATGAGGTCAATTGTGGGACCTATGCTCTCTCTCATCGTATTAGGTGCTCAACATTATCACATTTCACCTGTCCCATTAATAATTAACAATAATAATGATAACTAATCCAAAGGTTTTGAGATTACCCAGAAGGACCATAACCTTTATAATATATAATCACATTCTTAGTCTAAGATAGCGACCCAGACAGCAACAGAGCAACCTAAAGTTCAAACACTGGGTTCTTTTCCTGCTCACATTGTGGGAGTCCACCAATCGTTTAAAAAACTCAGAACTTTTTCTCCCTCTCGTTCCTGGAAAAAGTAACCCCCCCCCCCCGGGGGGATTGCATATTCTAGGATCTCAAAATGTCTATATCCGAACACGCCACGTGGGCACTCAACTTGAATGTTATCATTTGCCTGCACATCTCGAACTCGGTGGCTCTTGTAACGCTTTTAGCCACTGTCACCAAATTTCTCTCTCTTCATTGTGCCTTACAAGTCCGTGAGCTGTTTGTTTGTTGCTCTCTTTCCGCACTTTTACATGCTGCTCCGGTATTAATCTGAGTCTGTCGGTTCGCAGTTTTCGTCATTTTCTCGCTTCCTTCATGTGACCCTTGCTTACTCTACCGCTTCTTCTGCTTCTTCTCTGTGTCGTCAGGATTCGTATAACTCTACGTATGTATACATTTCTCTCTCGCAATGCTTTAGAGCTTCTTCGATTATGGCGTTGGCGTGTTAGTGAATTTCGTGTTAGTGTTTCTCTGGCATTTGGATTTGAACAGTGAAGGCGAGATTGGAGGCGTGAATTGCAGAGTTTCTTCGGCATTTCCTTTGAAGTGAGTAAGATGGGAGGGACGGTGGTAGACGGGGACGAGGATGGAGTTGGAAGGAAGAGGATAAATATTGGAGTATGCGTTATGGAAAAGAAGGTGAAATGTGGCTAAGAGAATCTATGTTTACGTTCAATTCCGCTTTTCTTCTTTGTTTATTTCGTTGTTGAAAGCTGAGCTTACAATGAGTTCAATGAATGCATATCCTTCTATGGCTCGGTTAAGGTCGTCGTTGACGGTCCTGTTTTGGATTACAGGTTTTCTCGGCGCCTATGGGGCAGATTCTCGATAGGTTACAGGCATTCGGTGAATTTGAGGTAGGCGAAGTGAACGTCTGAGTTCTGGTTTTTGCCACCTATTTGGATTGGATTTCGCCTGTATATGACCCCTTTTGTTTTGGCCAATTAGCTTGTACATGAGTCTACAAAAAAACAATAGAATACGTTTCATTCTGATATTATTTTTAAAGAACTTGAAGTATTTGCTCTCCGACTCTGTTCGTATATGACAGAAGCTCGTCCGTGTTAGTTGTTCTCTTATTTTTTTGGCATAGTCTTTTATCTTTTTCTCTGTAGTCATTTGTTCTTTGTAATATTTGTAGATCAAACTTTTTGGTGACAAGGTCATCCTCGAGGATCCAATAGAGAGGTATACTTAACATCAATGTCTGGAACGCGTTTAAACTGGACAACTTGCCATAAAGTAGTGATCGTTTGTTTGCTTCTTGTAATTCTTTTAAATCTGAATGCTGCATCTGTTTGATCAATAATCATTCGTCGTTCCCCACTTCAGTTTAACTCTGTTCGTGCACCATTGAATTGTAAAATGATTCTCATACTCTATCGGCAGACAGAAAGCGGTCATCCTCGTTTCTCACGCCTCTCAGAACATGTATACATTTGTGCTGACATGAAGTATTGGTTGTTTTAAACTGAGGAAAATTATAACGACAAGAAAAAAAAATAAAACTATGAATCACAGCATTTTTGGTCATTTGATCACGTCATTGATGGAAGCGATTTCATAGGAATCAAAAGGAGCTTTTGCAGCTTGTCAGTATGGATTTAATTGACTGTAATAGAAAAGGAAATAATAATTATTCCAGTGCCAGTTACTTTACCATTCGGAAAGGAAGAAGTAACTTTTGTGTGCGCGCGCGCAACACGTTGGGTGGAAAGGAAAAAAAAAAAAGAAAAGAAAATCAACAAAATTGATTGATTTCTATCTTGTTTCCCTTTTATAGTTGGAAGATAAAATGCAAGTTCATATAATTATGGCGAATACTTTTCCATTTCTTTTTCTTTCTGTCGACATTTGAAGGGAATGAGGATACGAAATACACTATTCCCTTGGTTATATATTTTAGGTCCTTTAAGCAAGGAAATGAATGCTTCCTACATTATTTTCCTTTCCCTTCATTCATCCAAATAAGCTGTGTGAGTCTGGGAGATATTTTCCTTCATAGCAATCTAAATATTATATTCATAGTTTGCATTGGGAGGAAGTAATGGAATATTTTTGTATGCTTAAAATTTCCATGATGTTATTTTTATTGCCTACTCATGATAGCATTTATAGTTTGATACTGATGAAGTTTCCCTTGTCTGAATCTTTCGTTATGATATGAAGTGATAATGAGTGCCAATGATGCTATACTGTTATAGCTTCAATTTGGAAATTTTAACTCAGGTTTCTAAATTCGCTACCTTAAAATTTCCATCATAAGCTTAGCATTGAGTGAGTTATGACTTGTGGCAGCATTAACCATATATGCGCTTTGATCATACGACTTATAGGTACAGAATAGCTTGCCATTAACTTATGGGTCTCTAGGGTCGCACTTTATGAAGGCTAATTTTAAAATATTTTGTTATTTCAGCTGGCCAGTATGTGATTGTTTGATTGCTTTCTATTCCTCGGGATATCCCCTTGAAAAGGCTGAAGCTTATGCTGCTCTTAGGAAGTAAGCTTGCAACTCTTGATTGTTTATGTCATCTATTGTTTATCTGTCACCATTCTTCCGTCCCTTCATAGTTTGTGCCTTTTGAACTGTTGAACCATGCAACTTTAGGTTTCTGGCCATACTTTTTTTTTTAGACCATAGGCAATTATTCCTTTGGTCATAAAATGCTAAAATAGTATGACATGCTTACTTATATGCTATCTGTTTGACAATTAACATTCCACATGAAACCTTTCCAAAAATGTGCGATTAAGTTTAGCATCTGTAAAAGGAATATGAGATGCCAAACTTTACCATTGAGCAGGTGCATAATAGTTTGAACCTTGTTATTTTTTTGAGGGAAAGGAACAATGGAGACTTTGTTTCCATTTGTGAAATTAGATACTAGGATGGTTGCATCTTTGAGTAGTTTGGTTGGTAAGAAAACAATAAAACCATATCAATGGTACAGTTGATATGCAAGTCATGTTCTTACCTTTTTTTGGCATATTGTAATATTTAATACTACTAGATTAGTGCGGCATAGGTATTTAAATGATGCACAGAAAGTTAACAGGAAAATTATAATTCAAACCCATTTTTATTTTAGATATAAATTGATTACTGCTAACTCAAAGTTGTGATAAAAAATTGCAAATTCCACAAGAGGTCACCATGCAAGAAACTAGCTTAGCAGAATGCAATGACAATGAAGTCCTAAATTCTAAATATGACTACTTTGAAAATCCTAAAATGTGTTTTGTTTGAAATTTTAAAATACTCAGACTTAGTTCTGTGTTTGATTCAGTAGATATCATGCGGTATTTAAGTTCTAATCAGTTGTATGGCACGAAAACATTTATGGGTTTAGGTACTCTTCTTTGAAGAGTTCGTTTGTTCTCTGAATTTTCTTATGTCATGCCTTTGTTCATGATCTTATCTCAATAGAGAAATACATATAATAACCTATGTGACAATTGGAATAATGGCTTAGTGGCAATAAGGATAGCATCACTTGAATGGTGATGAAAGTTAGAGAAGCAAGTATAGTGCATTTCACTGGGTAATTGTTGCTGAAGAACTGGAACTCTGGTATTTTGTGGAAGTTGGTCAGTTATGGTTACGGTACTTAATTGTGTAATGTAGGCTTTTGGGATGATCTTTATACATGTTGATATGAGGATTCTGATGGGTGTCTTCTCTGTCTAAAATTCTTGTTGAAAGTTGATAATGAGGATTCTGTCCTGAGACTTCACATGCAGATTTGTTTATATGAAATTTGTGTGCAATCACCACTTTGTCTTGTTGATCTTGTATATAAGATTTGTATTAGGCTGCTTTGTGCAGAAGACCAAGATTGTCATAGGACTTAGTTTTTTACTAGGAAGCTTGTGAATATCCACAAGTTATACTTTCCCTGCCAATCCTTCCTGAGATTATTATAAGAATGTGACAGGTCATCACTCTCTTTCCTCTGCTGAAGAATAATTCTGTAGAGATATCAGCTGGCCAAATCTGGGGTAAACTTATTAAGTACTCTGAGGTTATAATTATTAGTGTTTTGCTCAACTTTATTCTAAGTTTGCTCTATTTATTCTACTGGTTTTCAAAATCCTAACTTAGTGTATATTTATGCATAGGGGAATAGTTTCTTACTTTAATTTGTTATTTTTTAATTCATTGTTTTTATAGCTGTACCATCTTTTAAGAAAACTGGTTTTGTAGAGCTAAAAAATCTTATCCACTGTGATCCAGACCTTATCTAGTAAATGAACTGGATCCGCAGCACCTTCTTCATGATCGAAGGATGGTATATGAGGTAAATTAGACAATTTTTTCCTTATACAGTTCTGTTAAATAATATCTATGATTTCATTCTATTGTGTCATACTACGGAAAAATTAAAGATGAACAAACTTTCATTGATTGAATGCTTTGAAATGTGGTTGTAAGATGGTGACTTCAGCCCACATAAAATACTAGGAGGGAAAATAAAATCAACCATGATTATAGCTTCCAACTCATTTGATTATCTTCTGGATCTGTATGTTGGGATCTGTTCTCATATAAATTTTATTTCATAAATTATAATTATGAAAAATAATTTTGTAACAAGACACGCCAGCTATCTATTCTAAGCTTTCTTTAGGGGTCTTGCTTGGCTTCACAGATAAGGTTTGGCCCATATGCCATTCCAGGTTCATATGATGTCTGATGTTTAGATGTTATTCATTATGTAACTCAAATCCCATCAACGAAGAATTTAGTTGAAGTTGATCCTAGTTTCAAGTTTTGGTGAGGAAAAAAAAAATGAATAGAATGTGAAATAGTATAGGACGGTTGCTATTGTCTAAGGATTGGTTGGCTTGTGATATCTATGTAAAAATATTCTCCTACTTCAAATAAACATATTGGCAGTCATATTTGTATGTATGCTCATTAAATACAATGCATGACTGGTTACAACCAAAATGCTTTACGATATCCCTCTTACAGTTTGGAATGGATTAACTAATTTTCAAGTTTGGGGTTCAAGCGTCTTGAGATGTTTGGAATCCCTGTTCCAAAATATGCCCTTGTAAATAGGGAATTCCCGTACCAAGAGTTGGATCATTTTATTGAGGAGGATGATTTTGTTGAGATTCGTGGTATGCGTTTTTGGAAGCCATTTGTGGAGAAACCTATTAATGGTGAGCTTCTTTCTTGGATCCAAGAGTCAAAATCTTTTAGCTTGCAACTTGTTTGGATTTGTGCTTCTAGATGTAAGTTATTTTTTTATTGATTGCTACGTTCCTTTTATTTGATTGACTAAGTACCAAAAGCACTATATTTGCATCATTTGAACCTGCAAAGCAACTGATTATTCCATGGGGATGTGGACATTAGGTTGGTTGCTTTCAAGTGAATTTTGAAAATGGAGATAATGTAGAACAGGGGAGAAAGGAAGGGATGGGGGAGGAAGAGTGATGAGGGAGAAATGAAGGAAGAACTGAGGGAGAAGAGAAAAATTGGGAGAGAGAATGCTAGAAAATAGCTAATGTCAATTTCAGTTCCTTAAGAGTCTAAAAATGAAGAAAGCCTAGGGCTATTTTTAGAGATCCCAAAAACAATAGCTTAAACCTAAGGTAAAAGAAAACCCAAACATAAAGCAAAAGAAATTACTAATTACATGAAGGTTATCAAAGACATAAAAACTGCTAAAAACATCAAATAAATCTGACTAAATTCCCCATCAGAAGAGGTTTCTCTTTTTCTTTCTTTATCTTTTGCCCCTCAGAAGCACAGATGTGGACATGAGACATGCGACACAATATGCAATGACGAATTGAACAGATGATAGATAATTAGATACTGCTTTATTGGTCAATATGGACTTATATTTGGATGAAGTATCAACTTGTTCAGAATAAGAAGATGTATTTCCTTCATTTATTTGATTAAAAAACTATTGAAGGTGGTCTAGTTGTGACATCTGAAAGTCTGCTTGACAGAGCAGCTGGTAATGCTATGGATATTGCATTGGGTTGCTCAAAGATGAAGTTTGAAGACAAAGGATCCCTTTTCCACGTGAAGGACAATGGCAGAAATTATCCATGGAACACACAATATGCGAAAGATAGTTAAAAAAAAAAAAGCATAAATATTACTGTGTAGCCCAATATGGACAAAGTGGAAAATCAACTTGTTCAAATTAGGTGAATGTCATTAACAAGCAATTGGAATGGGTGAATAACGTTTTTTTACTAATGAAAGAAGAATTTTTTTATGAGGAATGAAGGAAACTCCTTGAGGAAAAAACCCATAGCTAAACACTATGAGGAATATTACTCTTGTTATGTTGAAGGTCAAAAGTCAGATTTATTTTGCTGCAGCTAGGGCAGCAGAAAAGGGTGCTAAAACTTCTAAACTTTGATTTGTTTGCGCTTAAAATCAAATCAAATCAAATTATAGTATCCAAACTTTTGAAGACAGAAGCTTGTTAGGCTCCCCCCCTTCTTTCTCTCCTTTTCTGCTCAAATAAAACACTCATCAGCTCTTTGAAAATAAAATAAATGCAGTTTGATTTTTATGGTGGTAAAATATTGGGATTCACGTGTCTTTAAAACCTCAGCATGATCATTGGCATGGAGGTTGAACCGTCAATTATGCCTCAGAAATCTGATGAAATGTTTGTTGAAACCATTTGCATACTCTAATGGCCTTTGAACAATTACTTCAGAAATTTGTGCGTATTGCAGATTTTGCACAAGTATCAAGTGAATGGAAGTCATTCTACTATGCTTTAATTGTGAAATTATTTTAGGATTATTTGCTAAATGCTGTCTTGAATAAATAACTTCAATTTCATACTTAAATGAAGTTTCTTAGTTGTAATAATGGAAACTTCAAAATTATTGGATATGTAGAAACTTGTAAATATATTTTCTTAAATCTAGTAATGACTCTTATCTTTGTGTTTATCTGAAGCTGATGACCATAGGATAATGATATACTATCCCAGTTCTGCAGGTGGAGGTATGAAGGAATTGTTTAGGAAGGTAATTTTTGGGCTGATAAATTTCTTTTAAGTAGGCTAATGTACTTCTTACTTAAAATGATTAAGACAACATTTGTATTTTGCAAGGGTGATTTAAACCGTATTTGTGTCAGATTTAATTCTTGTAGTAATGAAGATATTTGAGGGAAAATACTACTACATTGATCACTGAACCCTCTGAAGGAATATATACAAATGCAGAGAATCAAAAGAGTAAATATAAGCTGTAAATCATGGGATAGGCCAAGATACAGGGAAGATATATGATACAATGAATTTGACCAGCTAATAACAGATTTACAATAAATAAATAATATTTATTTATAAACGTTAGGTTATCCACAGGTAAACAACAATGTATTTTCTTAAGAACGTGGAATACTTTGCCATATACAAGCAGAATTTTCCATCTCCTAAAATTATAGTGCAATGTGTATGCATATTTTGTTTGAGATATAAATTCAAACCATTCCTATACTTTTTCTTGATAGCTTAAGGTTTTTGAAATAGTTCCTTTGCCTTTTTTTTTTTGGTTACTTTCATCGAGTCCTATGGATGAGAAATAATTACACAATTTTCGATCTTTGTATTGATATATTATGATCTTAGGTTGGAAATCGATCAAGTGAGTTCCACCCAGAGGTGAGGAGAGTAAGGCGTCAAGGCTCCTATATATATGAGGAATTCATGCCAACTGGAGGGACTGATGTAAAGGTTTGGCAGTTTGAGACTAATGTTTTTGTTGTTATTTTGTTTTAGACATTGAAAACATTGTCTTTGGAATTTTTTTTACTCAGTCAAGTTTTCTCCATAATTTGTAATGTTGGAATTGGGAGATAATATGATCGAAAAATTGTAGGTTTACACAGTAGGCCCTGAATATGCTCACGCTGAGGCAAGGAAGTCTCCTGTTGTTGATGGTGTTGTTATGAGGAATCCGGATGGGAAAGAGGTGATTGGTTTGCCGAAGTTTATGGTCTCTCCACCCATATGTTCTGCATTTTGTTTTCCTTGGTTGTTCATTATGCTTTACAGTAATTTACTTCCATGAATTAGCAATTGCATTCCATTGTCTTAGTCCAAGGGAGGACTTTTGTCTATTGAGGTTTCAGCATATCATTTCCTGTCAAGCCCCTTGGTTTGAAATTTTGAATGAAATGTTGAGAAAGGATAACAGTTTGAATTCCACCTTGGTTAGTTTTTCTTCAATATAAAGGCATGGTGTTAGCAAGAATCAATTTTAAATTGGACGGGACCAATCATTAAGTTGTAAATATGCACGGATACTTGAGGTCAACAAATTCAAATATGGTATCATTGATTAGAAATATGCCTTCTTTGTGGGTTTCTGCAAATGGTTTCTTTAGGATTATCCCTTGTGGATATTCAAATGGATTGGAAGATCCACAAACAATATTTAACGCAGGCTCACAAAGATTATGTTCATGTAGAAAGCAAGTCATTTCCCTCACAAAGGGAGCTTGACATCATTACCGGAGAAGGCCATCAAAATTTAAATGCTTTTTGTGGGAGAAAATTTGCACTGAAGAGTTCCTGATGGCTTACTTCAAAAATCTCTGAGCACAAGGCATGGTTTTTTCAGCAGTATGAACATAACTTTAATAATTGGGGATTGTATTGGAATTAGTTAATTTGGTATTTCATTGTTCATTACGTGTGTCTTGTTCCTAGATTCATAATATGGTACTTGTTCAATCAGTAAATCTATATATTCATGTGGCAAACATCAAATAATTTTTTGGTTTTAGAAGAACTAGCATATTCCAGAGCAGGCTGGACCTGATGGCTTGTGACATTAATTGACTTTGTTAATATTGTTTGTGATCTTATTTGGCAGATAAGGTATCCTGTGTTGCTGACACCTGCTGAGAAGCAGATGGCAAGAGACGTTAGCATTGCATTTAGGCAAGCGGTAAGCTTTGTTAATGCAGTTGCTGCACATTTTTAAATGAAACAACAGGCTTGTCCTATTTCATTATGTACTGAAACTATTAAACGAACTGGTTCTCTTGTAATGTTAGAAACATTTGCATTGAGCTTATATTTTGGATAGTGCTCCTAGTTATTGGACCTAGTAAAGAAATGATGTGGGATGCTAGAAGTTAGAGCTACGATTAAATCTAGCCTGTAATTCTGCGTATATTTCTCTTTCCACCCCAAGGTTCTTGAAGTTCAATCGCTGCAGGCTCTTGGTTCCTTTTGTAGCTCCTTTGCCTGCACACTGAAGTTTGATTTGTATCCAGTAATTTAAATATTATTATATGGGGAAAATTCTCCTTGAGATACCTAACCATCATGTTAGGTCCAATCAGAAAGTATTTCATGACTAAAAAAATAGATTTTGTGATTATCACAATGTGTTTTAATTGAATGCACTGCTGGTCTTCAATTTTCCTTTTGGGAAGTACATAGAAGGATACCTTATCTCCCCACAGTTGTATTTAAATGAATGTAATGTTGGCCTTTGTTTTTGTCTATCTTCTATTTATAGAAGGATATCTTATTCCCCTTCCCCCCAGTTACAGTATTTTGAATAAACTGTGCTCTCCACTTCTACCCTTGCAGGTTTGTGGGTTTGATCTCTTGAGATGTGAAGGACGCTCGTATGTTTGTGATGTGAATGGATGGAGTTTTGTCAAAAACTCTCACAAGTAACTTTTTGATTACATATTTTTATGGCGCTTGTTTTTAAATTGGAAGCATGGTTCGAAGTAGAAGTAACTTTATTGCTTAAGAGTTTCTAGTAGTGCATCCACAGGTAAGCTTATAAGTGTTTATTTCGTTATATTGTTGACTTGAAGTTGAAATTCAGTGTTATTTACAGTCATTGAGGTTTTTTTTTCCATATATAATTAGTTTCTCTTTATTTCCCCTTAGTATTTCACTGCCCATTTTCTCAATAAATTGGATTCCCCCCCTTTTCTGTGTGTGCATTGCAGCTTTTGATTAATCGTTGTTTGACCAAAAGAACACTCACAAATGTAAATTAATTGCATGACATAGCATAAGATGTATATAGCATGAAACGTGGGCAACATGACAAATGAGGAAAGAGAATTATTTCAAAGTCAAAATTTAAAAAACTTAAATGTAGCTTAGGACAAATCTTAAGGGAAAAGAATAAGAGAGGTGTCTAGGTGAATTGAATCTTGAAATAGAACTTGTACTTTGCTCAAGAATTTTGTCTTGGTTGTTGTGTTTCAGTCAAATCAATTATATAAGATAGACTAGCTCTCTAAGCTCCATGTTAACTGTAGTATCTAGCTGCCTTTACTCTCATGTAGTTATCAAATGGCAGATAACTTTTAGACTTAAAGTAAACTTTTGCATTGTTAATTTCCTGTGTGTGTGAATTAGAAATTGAAACTTCTCATACTTGTCAACATTTGAGAGTAGAAAAGATAAGTGAGGAAAAACCCACTTGTTCATGATTACTGAATTCGTTTGAAAATTTATCCATTCTTCTGATATTTCTTCTTTTAGATAGCTGGGTTTTATGACACAAATATTATATCTTTTTCCTGTTGTGCTACTGAAGGTACTATGATGATGCAGCTTGTGTGTTGCGGAAGTTGTTTTTAGATGCAAAAGCACCTCATCTTTCTTCAGCGATCCCACCAACTTTACCATGGAAAGTAAATGAGCCAGTCCAACCTTCAGAGGGACTAACTCGTCAGGGTAGTGGTATAAATGGCACTTTTGGACAATCTGAGGAACTACACTGTGTGATTGCTGTTATTCGCCAGTAGGTTCTATTTCTTATTTCTCTTGCGCTTCTCAGATTTTATGGTTTTCTTGATGAATCTTCTGTTTTGGCAGTGGTGATAGAACTCCTAAACAGAAGGTGAAGATGAAGGTTACTGAGGAAAGGCTTCTTAACTTAATGTTGAAATACAATGGAGGCCGACCTAGAGCTGAGGTAATACTATATTTAGTCCTTTCATTACGTTTTTTTTTTTGGGGGGGGGGGGAAGGTACTGGATTCTTTGACCTGTTATGCTTTGATCTAAGGGTGCTTCAAATGCAGACAAAACTAAAAAGTGCTGTTCAGTTGCAAGATCTGTTAGATGCCACGCGGATGCTAGTGCCTCGTACTAGGTATTGCACTAACATAATCATCATTTAGTATTTTTTTTTGAAGCATTAGCATCACAACTCACTTGCCATCAATTCCACCCTCTAACTTAATAAAATTTAAGGTTACTGCTTGTCTGATAAACTGTAAAAAGTATTGTCAAGATTTCCTCTGATGTTAGCCCTTTCCCTCTTTCTGACTCAGGCTTTAAACAAGAAGTCTTTTGTACCTTTCATTTTTCCCCCTCACATAGTTGTCGAGATGCATGCTCTGAATTAAACGCCACTGGAAACTAGTCAAAAGATAAGCAGAAATTACTTTTTTCATGATGTGAGAAATTTTATTGGAGAAGAGAGGAGAAATGCAGGGAAGAGTACAGACAGAAAGCAATCAAAGCCCACCCATCTCTCTGTGTAGTAGAATAGATTCGTTTTAAAATTCTGTTTGTTGAGCTTCATAAAGATGCTGATTGCCAAGTGGACAACTTTGTTCCATCGGTAAGACAATGAGATTTCTAGGGCTCAGACAACAAATAAGTAATGTGTAGAATTTGGTGATCAGAAACTTCAGGGAGTTTTTGGCTATACTCTAATTCTCTTGTTCAATATCAAATGGGTTTTTACAAATAGATAAAGGTTTAAAACTAGAGATACGCCAGATATTCTAACTTCTAAAACATAGGGACTAACTAGTATTTAAATTTAAATACAAGATAAAATATCTTTACTAGTGGAATCCCTTGTGCATGGATACTCAACAACATAATGTGCTTGCAGTAAATCTTCTATGAAAGGGAATGATTTGGCTTTGTTTCATCTGGAGCCAGCATTGGGCTGGCAGGTGGCAGCCTAGGCTAGTCTGTTTTGAGAGCTTTAGAGAAATGAACAATTTCATTAAAATTATGTGAAACTGTTGATGCTAAATATTTTCATACTTTTTCTGAATCAGTGAGCATGATTATATTTATAGGAACTATCAACATCGCTTAAAGACTTTCACGTGTTTCCTAGAATTAGCAGAGAAGCAGTGAATTATAATTTATCAGCTTCATGCTAGGAAAAGATCATATTTGAATTTCAAATTCTATATGAGGAGATCACTGTCAAATTTCAACACTCCCCTCAAACGAGGAATAACTTGCAGCAAACATTGCCAATCTCCTTCCTCACTTGTATTTTTTGCCTATCTTCTTCACCTCATCTTTTGTGAGAGAGAGATCATGCTATAATCTTCGTGATTTTATGCAAATCTGTTTTCTTCTCTCCTAAATTCTAAAATCCTACAATTCTTACCACGTTCAAGACAATCTGTATTTTTATCTAAATAATTAAGTCCAAACATTTACCATTTGGCCATTACATTTATGCTTCTGTCAATTATGTTTATAACTGATACTCATTTGAAGTTATTTATGTGTGCTAAGCAAGGATTATGAATTGATTACATCTACCTCTACTTTACAGACCAGATCGAGAAAGTGATAGTGAGGCGGAAGGTGCTGAGCATGTTGAGAAGCTCCGTCAAGTTAAAGCAGTTCTTGAGGAGGTTATTAATTCTTTTGACAGTGTTTTTTCCTATGAGCCATGGGTTCTTTTTTTTCTTACAAGTCAATATGTAGTTGAATTATGAAAATTGAACTGCTATGAAACATGAATTAGTTCTTCTCACAATTTTTCTCCATTGATGGTAAGTCCCTAATTTTAGATGCTGCATGGAATTTCAGAGATGTACCCAATACCCCTAGCCATTAGCGTGTGATGTTAGGCTCAAGTGCAGCATTGTCCAAGCATAAACTTAGCCTATACACACACACACACAATTATCAGTGTAATAATCAGAAATGGTTAAGTTGAATAGATCCAGATTACAGTCAAAACTCTGACTGCTAGCATTCTGCTATCATAATGTTGATTGAGGCGGCAAAATCTTATATTGTTGCTAATAGATGAAGGTGTAGTACAGTATTCCCATTTTTTTTTTTTTACGAATGAGTGAGGAAGTTTATATTAAATTCAATTCTTTTTTAGGCAGCTTTGCTTAAGTGGATCTTTTAACTTTCCAATTTTTTGGAAACCTATATATAATGTATTTAGCCATTGTTTGGTGTCATAACGAACATTAACAACATGGGCTAACAACCAGAAAAAAATGAAAATGATGCTTCTGACTTGGTTATTATGGTCGACCTTGCTTATTATCCTTGAAATGCCTTGTTCTATAGCATATTGCTGACAGAAGATTAAGGTTATACTGCTACATGTGCTTCTGCAGTTTACATTGCTTCATTCATCACTCATATCATATTTCATGTGCTAATTTTCTCCGTAAATCAATCAGGGTGGGCATTTCTCTGGCATATATAGGAAGGTTCAACTAAAGCCACTAAAGTGGGTCAAAGTTGCAAAAAGCAATGGTGAAGGTGAAGAAGAACGGCCAGTTGAAGCTTTGATGGTCCTTAAATATGGCGGTGTCCTTACACATGCTGGCAGAAAGCAGGTTTAGATGGACAGACATATGCTACTTGAATTGGGTTTGATTGCACCACTAGTTATGTTATTTGAGATTAAATGAGTCAACAATTTTTCCTGCAGGCTGAAGAACTGGGAAGATATTTCCGGAATAATATATATCCAGGTTTGTTAAATGACTTGTCTTGATGTCAAATTATGTCCTCCACCTTTCCTAAGTGATCACCAACAATGTAGTTTGCATAGGTGTTTGACAACGAGGGGGTCACTATTGGAATCTTTAACAGTGATGAAGTTGGACCATATCTTTTCTAAATTAGATATGTGAATCTTTTCTTAAGATAGTCTTGTATAAATGATGCTATATACAATGCGTTTCTTTTTCTGCTCCTATCCCAAAAGCTGCATGTATAACATTTCTTCAAAATTAATTCAATTTCATTTATGTTGCATTTGGATGTAGGAGGATTTGGATTTGGATTTAGGCAGAGTCCACCATTTGGACCTATAAAAATTTGTGGATTTGGATTTGATTCAAATCCAAATTTTATTATAATTTTTTTTCTTGTAATTTCAAATCTCTTCTACACCCTAGTTATTTAACAAGGCAGCCATTTCAACTCTCCTGTTCTCTTGTTTACATTTCCCATCTTCCTCTTTTCATTGTCTTTGAACTTGAAATTTTTTACCATACCAAAACAAAGTATTTTAAATGTGAGATTTTAAATCTAAAATTTAAATTCACTAATCCAACGTTACATTAAGGTTTTGGAAATAACATTTAAGCATAACCAAAAAAAAAAAAAAAATCTCCAGTATGTATGATTTTCTTTTAGATCAGTTTTGACAGCCTTGCTAGCTAAGTTCAGATGTCAAGTTACATTGTGTTTGAAACATCTTCCCATTCTTGGTAGCTTGTCAAGAGATGATATTATTTTCATGGAGTTAACCGTGCTATTTTTGTGTTGTCCTTAAAAAATAAAAAAGCACCATGTTATTTTTGTTGAGCTTGTAGCCTGTGAAGTTTATTTCTGATTATGAATGAATCATAGTTGTGAGATGCTCATTTGATCCATGCTTTACCTCTGTATCACTCATGGAGTGAATGTTATCGCACATTTTCAGTTAGTGCAGCCTCTAAGGCACACTGGCAGATTTTTTTTTTTTTTTAGCTTACAATTTGACCATAAAAAGGGGAAGTTCAGCATGTTATTAAGATCTGCTGGTTTTTACTTGTTTTAAAAGCATTTTAACTTTCATTTATATAGTTTCATACGCTTTGTTGGGTTCTTATCTCTTATATCATCAACTGGTTAGACAAATGAATCTGCTATTTATAGTGTGGGCCAATCTTTATATGTTATATAAAATTACAGGAGAAGGTACAGGGCTGCTTCGCCTTCATAGTACATATCGACATGATCTTAAGATTTACAGCTCTGATGAGGGTCGGGTGCAGGTATGTCCTTTGTTGTACGCACTTTCCCCCTGCTGAAAAAGCCTAAGTAGTTTAGTTCATGGTTGTTTTATGTTCTTGCCCTTCATGTCTTGATGTTGATTTCTAGACTTTGTTGTTCATCTTCCTAGCCTGTCCTCTATTTGGTATCATATGCCAGTCATTTTAATGAGAACTGTATAACAGATGTCTGCAGCTGCATTTGCCAAAGGTCTTCTTGACCTTGAGGGGCAGCTAACACCAATCCTGGTTTGTTGTCTACTTTTGAAGAAAATTTGACCTTCGTTTGAATGTTTGACTGAAATAGCATATTTCTTAAAGGTTTCCCTTGTTAGCAAGGATTCCTCCATGTTGGACGGCCTTGACAATGCTAGTAATGAAATGGAAGAAGCCAAGGTTTGTAATATTTGTTTTATATTTAATGCGTTTTAATACTGGTGAAACCGGCTGATGGTTGTAAGCATTAGCTAAGTTGTTGCTTATCATTTTAGAGATGGCTGGATACAGGAAGTCAATTCAATTTCTTTGTTTGGCTCTCTTCCTATCCTGGCACAGAATCCAACAGCAAACAATTTTGAGGGACCATGAGTTTTAGCATATACATGGGAGAGTAATTTTTTGTTAGAGAAACATATGACCAAACTTTTAAATGCTACATGAAGAGTTTAATTTACACTTTGTCATAGCATGTTTACTAATTGATTTATCTTTGCACCTGTTGAGAATTAGAATTTATTCTTTGTATTTATTAGCGTTAACTAGAGTAGTTGTTAGGTGTAAGTATTTATTGCTCTATCTTGTATATTTCCTATATATATGAAAATTGGTAGATCAGTAATAATACATTGACCGCATTTTTTCTAATCACTCTCTCTCCTCTAATTCAATATGGTATTAGAGTTGCGGTTTTGAATTCCTAGGGTTGTGCTTCATTCCAACCCATCTCTTTTTCCTTTTAGAATTCTATTCATCAGTACATCACTGTTTGTCCGTACATCACTGTTCATCCATGCGTCTCTATTAATTGACCCATCACCGTCTGGCCTCCGTTCATTACACGCACGCCACTTACCGTGTCCAGAGGCTGCCAACCGGTTAGTCTTGGAAGTTTCATCGCCATTCGCCACCCCACGCGCTTCCACGCGCCACCTCCGTTTCTTTGTGCAGCTTGGTCTTCCTGGAGCGTGAATGCATGTTTGACGTCCATTCTTGCCGTCGTCTGCTCCGTCGTGCTTGCTAAGGCCTTCTCCCTTTGATCTCGTGGCTGTTTCTTCTATGATGTCTACCTCAGAATCCAAGACTAGTGCCATTTCCTCTTTTTTTTAATGGTACCCCTATTATTACCGTTGAGAAGTTACATGGGCCTTTAAATTACAAATCTTGGGCTGCTTTAGTTCATCTTTGGTTTAAAGGACAAGGCTATTTGGATCAGTTGACCAAGCAGAAGCTGATATTCTTGAAGCTCAGCAACCTACATGGATTAAAATTGATGCTCAATTGTGCTCCTTGCTATGGAATTCTATTGATCCCAAGTTACTTCCTTTATATCAATCTTTTGAGACTTGCTTTGATGTTTGAGTAAGGCTGCCACTTTATACAGCAATGATATTCGCCGCTATTACAATGTGATTACCTCTCTTGTTAGTTTGAAATAGGAGGACATGGATGATATTACTTGTGTTAGCTGCATTGAGTCTCTTCATCAAGAATTTTGCTCTTTAATGCCTGCCACTTCTGAAGTCTAAGAAAAAGAGTGGGACAAACTATTCATGGTTCTTACTTTATACAATCTTCGTCCTGCTCTCAGTCATCTTTAGGATCCAATTCTTGGTGGATCATCACTTCCTGTTCTAGATGATGTCCTTGCTTGTCTTGTTCAAGTCTCTCTTAATACTGTGGCTCCTCCCAAACCTGCTGCTATTGCTTCTGTTCTGATTTCTTAGAACTCTACTCGTGGTGGAGGTAGATGTAGTGGTCCTCGAAAACGCCGTCAATGTACTTATTGTAACAAGTTGGGGCATACTCGAGACCACTACTACAGTCTTCATGGGCGACCTTCTCAGACTGCCAATGTTGGTCAGACTTATGACTTGCACTCGCATGCATCCTCTACTCCTATTGAGCAGCCATTTAATTCTATTAGCTTGAGAGGAGCTGACCATGAAGAGTGTCTCCGTTTCCAAGCTAACAAGCAATCATCTCATGTTGCCTTTATTACCTAGATTGGTAACTTTGTTGCTTGTCTTGCTCATTCTTCTCTTGGACCATGGGTTATTGACTCAGGTGCTTCTTCTTATATGTATGGTAACAAAAATCTTTTATCTCACTTTACGAATTCAATCTCTCTTTCGGCCGTTACTATAGCTAGTGGTTCTTCTATTACAGTTAAAGGAATCGGCCAAGCTTCCATTTCTCCTTCTCTTAATTTGCAATCTGTCCTTTATGTTCCTGGATGTCTTTACAATCTTGTTTCTATTAGTCAACTCACTCATGCTCTCTCTTGTTTGATTATCTTTAGTGTTGTCTTTATCATTTTGTAGGATTGGAGTACTGGTCAGATGATTGGCATGGGGCGTGAGTCCCAAGGACTTTACTATTTTCCATCTACTATATCACTAGCCACCTACACTGCCATCCCACGAAATCTTGTTCACAATCATCTTGTCCACCCTAGTCTTTCCAAACTTCAGAAGATGGTTCCCTCTCTTTCAACTTTACAGTCTCTTGATTGTGAGTCATATCAACTTGGAAAACAAACTCGGTCTTTGTTCCCTAGTCATGTCAATAAACAAATTGATGCTCCTTTTAAACTTGTTCACTCTGATGTTTGGGGTCCTCGTCGTGTGACAAGCAATCTCAGTTTTCAATACTTTGTAACTTTTATTGATGATTATTCCCGTTGCACTTGGTTATTTATTAAAGAATCGTTTAGAAGTACTCTCTGTGTTTCAATCTTTTTGTACTGAAATTAAAAATCAGTTTTGCATGTTAATTTTTATATTACAAAGTGATAATGCAAAGGACTACTTCTCTGCCCCGTTTGTCCATTATTTATCTTCTCGGGGTATTTTGCATCAGTCTTCATGTGCATACACATCTCAACAAAATGGTGTGGCCGAAAGAAAAAATCAGCATCTTATTGAAACTACCCGCACCATTCTTCTTCACTCTAAAATGCCACATCGTTTTTGGGGTGATGCCGTTCTCACTACTTATTATTTGATTAATCGCATGCCTTTTTTTGTTTTACACAATGAAATTCCTTACTTTATTTTGTTTCCTTTTGCACCTCTTTATTCACTTCCTCCTCATGTTTTTGGGTGTACTTGCTTTGTCCACGATTTGACTCTTGGCAAAGACAAACTTGCCGCTAAAGCTATTAAATGTGTTTTCCTTGGGTACTCTCAGGTTCAAAAAGGTTATCGTTGTTTTTCTTACTACAAACAAGTACATTACCTCAGTTGATGTCACTTTCTTTGAGACCTCTCCTTATTTTCTCTCCTATGAGTCTGAGCAATATGTTTCTAAGGCCCTTCCTCTTCCTTACCTTGATCCACCCATTATTGATAAATCACCTATTATTCAAACATACCACCATCGCTCTCATCCTTCCTCCTTGGCAGGCCCTAGTGATATAGCTGTGGACTTGCTCCCTACTCCAGTACCGGCTCCTGCTCAAATCCAACATCCTTCTGATGATGCCCCTGTTGCTCTTCATAAGGGTACTCGTTCTACTCGTAATCCCTATCCTATTTATAATTTTTTAAGCTATCATCGGTTATCTCCATCATATACTACTTTTGCATCTTCTTTGGATTCTGTTACCATTCCTACAGATGTTAGTGAGGCACTTGCCCATCCTAGGTGGCAACAAGCAATGCTTTATGAGATGGCTGCTCTCTATACTAATCATACTTGGGATCTAGTCACTTTACCTTCTGGAGAGTCATTGGTTGGTTGTAGATGGGTGTTTACCATTAAGATTGCTCTTGATCGTTCTATTGATCGGTTGAAAGCCTGCTTCATTGCCAAGGGCTATACCCAGATCTTTAGCCTTGATTGATGACACTTTTTTTGCCAGTTGCCAATATTGCATACGTTCGCTTACTCTTGGCCATTGCAGTTATCAATCATTGGACTCTTTATTAGCTTGATAAAAAAAATGCTTTTCTCTATGGTGACTTAGAGGAAGAGGTGTATATGGAGCAACCTCTTGGTTTTGTTGCTCAGGGGGAGTCTGGGAAGGTTTGTATCCCTTTATAGACTAAAACAATATCCTTGAGCTTGGTTTAGTAGGTTCAGCATCGTTCTTCAAGAGTATGGAATGATCTGCAGTGCTGTAGATCACTTTGTGTTCTATCATCACTCACCATTTGGGCAATGCGTTTATCTGGTTGTTTATGTGGATGAAATTATTATTACAGGCAATGATTAGGATGGGATCTCTAAACTCAAAAATCACTTAATGAAATCATTTCAAACAAAAGATTTGGGTAAGCTTAAGTATCTTTTGGGCATTGAGGTAGCTCAATCATCAACTGGAGTTGCTATATCACATGATTCTTGATATTCTGAAAGAGACAGGGATGCTAGATTGTCGACTGGTTGGCACTCTTATAGATCCAAATGTCAAACTTCTATCGGGACAAGGGGAGCCTCTTGCAAACCCAGAAAGATATCAGAAACTAGTTGGAAAACTCAATTACCTCACTCTCACTCGTCCTGATATCTCTTTCCCTGGAAGTATGGCAAGTCAGTTCTTGGAATCTTTATGTGATAGCCACTGGGAAGCTGCAGTTCGGATTCTTAGGTGCATCAAGGGATCCCTAGGTCAAGGACTCTTATATGAAGACAAGGGGAATTCTCAAGTAATTGGCTATGGTCATAATGATAAGGATGATTCCCAAGATGATACTCAAATTGTCGGGTATAGTGATGTGGACTGGGCTAAATGCTCGATTGATTGACACTCTAGCTCAGGGTATTGTGTGTTTATTGGTGGAAATCTAATGTCCTGGAAGAGTAAGAAGCAAGATGTTGTCTCTAGGTTAGTGTTGAAGCTGAACATCATGCCATAGCCTTAACTACATGTGAACTTATCTAGTTAAAATAGCTTCTTTAGGAATTAAAATATGGGAATATTACTAGAATGAACTTGTTCTGTGACAATCAGGCAACAATGCATATAGCCTTAAATCCAGTGTTTCATGAGAGAACTAAACACATTGAGATAGATTGTCATTTTGTGTGAGAAAAGATTTAATCCGGATGCCTTGCTATGAAGTATGTTAGCTCTAATGATCAACTAGCAAACATATTAACCAAAGCTCTTTGAGAACCTTGAATAAAGTACATTTGTAACAAGCTTGGTGCATATGATCTATACACACTAGCTTGAGGGGGAGTGTTGAGAATTAGAATTTATTCTTTGTATTTATTAGAGTTAACTAGAGTAGTTGCTTGGTGTAAGTATTTATTGCTCTGTCTTATATATTCCCTATATATATGAAAACTGGTAGATCAGTAATAATACACTGGCTACATTTTTTCTAATCACTTTCTCTCCTCTAATTCAATAGCACCAACAAATTTTTCAATATAAAAAAGTCACATACTGGATAGAGGTCATTATTACTGCTTGGGTTGGATTGTTGAGATTTGAGAGTTATACTGATGAAGGTTATGCTTAACAGATACGCCAAAATACGATTCGGGTCTAAATTCAGCGAGTTATGAGAAATAAAAAAGAGGAAAATAGGACTTCAGCTGGTGCATCTTGGAAAAAGTTCTTGCCAAATCCATTTTGGTTCTAGGAAAAAGAACTTAAGCAAGAAAACAACCAAAACGAGATGGGATGAAGCGAACATTTATGAGGAGCCATCCAGTTGAGAAACCTTTGTTGAGTAAGATACTCTTTTAGAATAAAGATAATTGATGAATATAATTTAAGCAAATTTAAAACTATTAGAGATTCAAACTTATTACATAATTTATAAAAATGAAAAGTCAGCCGTAGTTGATTATATCAACATGTTACCGTTTTGTTAGTGAAATTTTTGTCTTATCACATTAATTGACAGCGTGTTTCACTTCCAGTTTTAGTCACAAGGACATTATATTTTCTAAGACGTCTTTTTCTGACATGCTTCAGCATTATTAATGGACTGAACCACTCTCTCTCTCTCTCTCTCTCTCTCTCTGTGGTATATCTACTTTATCTAAATATTGGATTTTTGCTTCAAGTGACTGACTAGCTTATTGGGTCTTTGTGTGATCTGAACTAGCCATTTTGGGCCAATCCTCATGGTCCAGAATGACTAGTTACTGAACGCTGGCAGAACACTTGTACTATTTTGTTGGGCCCAACATTTGGGGCCGTGTTTACACAAGGAAGCCCAAAAGAAATAATCAGAAGAAGAGTGAGCAAGGGCATAGTAGGAAAGGCACAATAAAATAACAGTGCCTGACCTTGTTAGAGTAGTGGGTGGTGTAAAAGGGGAAGCGGGTAATGACAGATGGGAGGATAGTGGTAATGTGTTAGTGGAGAGGGCTTGGTCTCTTGAAAACCAGGTTGTGTGTGAGGTCTCTTCCTTGTTCTTTGTTCTTGCATAAGGATTGGGTAGGAGTATTGTGTGAGTGCTGATTAGTGGATGTATTCTTTACATTTTCCCTTTGTAATAGAGGATACCCAGTGAATTTATCTCTTTGTTCACCTGATTATCATTGTTTTATCTGTCATTGTTGTTAGTCCTATCACATTAATTTTATTTCTTTTTTTGGTTGGCTTGATTGAATTTTTCATAGGCTCGGTTGAATGAGATTATAACTTCTGGTGCCAAGACAGTGCATGATAACGGATCACCTGAATTTCCTTGGATGGTTGATGGAGCTGGATTGCCGCCAAATGCATCAGAATTACCTCCCAAGTTGGTAATGATTTATATATATAGCAATGCATAGTTGCTTAAAATGTCTTTTGCTATAATTTAGTGGGTAGGTTAGCATGCGCTTTTTAAAGAAATGATCCTTTTTAAGTTTCCTGTATTTAGTTTTAATCCTTGTCATTAACAAACTAACCATGTTACTAATTGCTCTTTCTTTGGCTAGCAAATTAACCTCAATAACTAATATAATACCCTTCAATTAAAGCAGAGGTGTAACTTGACAATAAGATTTGGTATTGGTGTCTTCTGTTGCATCATCTGCTGCAAAGACAGAGATTGAGTGTAAAAGAAGAAAAAAGAAAAATTAGTCGAATCCATCATTATTAAAATGCATGATAACATTTAAGATGGTGAAAGTAATATCACTTATAGACTATAATGAACGTATAAATAAGTAATATCTGTGCAATAATTGATAGAGCCAACCTTGAACAGAGTATTAGAAAGTTCATTTGAATGGGTAATGAACAAATTTGGTAAATTTTCAATATCAGTAGTGTTATAATGCTTTCCTTTTTAAAATAATTTCTTCTTATTGGTTATCATTTCTCACTACTAAAAGATGTATGTTGGACTATGCTCGTGGACATTACATAGCTCTAATGTAGCAGAATAGTTCAATTGTAATAACGAATCCTGTCTCACTTTCCCTTGCATCTCATATCATCAGGTGACATTGACGAAAAAGGTTACTGAACAAGTAAGATTACTTGCTAAGGATGAAGATGAGAAACTTAAAGAAACAAACTCATATGATGTAATTCCTCCTTATGACCAAGCCAAGGCTCTTGGAAAGACAAATATTGATGTTGATCGTATAGCTGCTGGACTACCTTGTGGGAGTGAGGGGTTCCTTTTGATGTATGCTCGCTGGAAGAAGCTTGAGAGGGACTTATATAATGAACGCAAGGAGTAAGTATTTTCCATCTTAGCTTTAATCTTGTTGCTCTTATAATCTTTTGGCGATTTGGTGATGTTATGATTTTCAATGTCACCAAAACCTGTCACATCTGAAGCTGCTTATAACTAGTACGTTATTTGCATCTTTGCTTACATGTACTACTGAATCCATTGCATATGAATTACTTTCATCTTCCTTGCTCATAATCTGATTTAGCTTTTTTTTGAAAAAAAAAATCTCAAATCTAAATAACTGAGATGTATTGCGGTTATCAGAAATCATAACTGTCATACAAATTTCGCAAAGTCCATTTTTTATTTACATTTTCCAGTGACAATTTCCTTTTCCAAACTATCATGAAAATCTTACAGCGCTAGCCAAAAAGGCTTGGCATTATGCGCATGAAAAATTGACGGACTCACTTTCGGTTTTGCTTGCAGACGCTTTGATATCACCCAAATTCCTGATGTTTATGATTCATGCAAGTAAGTTATTTCGTTTAACCTTCAAGTTTTCATGCTAATCTAGCAGTTCATTTTTACATTTTCAGTGTATCAACCATGAAAGTAAATGATGGTTCTTTGCCAGAAGTTATAGTCTAAACATATTCTGAATAAAATGTTTTCATTCTGTATATCAGATTCAGGAAGCTAGTTCAAAGATTTTAAGGGAAAATTGAATGATGCAGAATCTATTATGTTGTAATGAACATACCGTGCTTGAAGTCTTTTTTTTTTTTTTCCATTCCCCTTTGCCGTTATTTTTTTTCTTATAATTTGTTTGTATCAGAAAACTTACTAGCAAACAAGAAACAATGCAAATCATATGATTATGAATTACTTCATTCACAGGAGCAAGTCAATATATACACATAGTAGTCGCCTTTATCCTAATGGCTCACTATTATTCTGATCCTTATGATTACAGTATCTCAAAATAGGTAACTTCGTAACTAATGGATAAGGTGTTATGGAAAGATATTGAACATTCCCGCAACCAGACTTAACATTGTTGCTTTTGGAACTGAGCTAGATGGGCCTACCAGACCAAAAAATTGGGAATTGGCCATAGTCCAGTCTGTTCCATGCACTTGACCATTCGTAGAATATGAAAACTGAAAGACTCCCTTGATGAAAAGGAATGGCCTCATGTTGGACTGCCTCACTAGGAAGCCTGCATGGCTCAGGGTTAGTCAAATGCTTTGTAGCCATCTATATAGTCAAAGAATTGAAGAAAATTTTTATAAGCAATGCTGCAGAACTTCAGACAGTTTAGGAATTTCCATGACCAACCAATGCCCAATGCATTCTTCATTCCTTCCAATTTAGTTAAGCTACTTTTGTATAAACAAATATTGAATAATTTAAAATTAAAATAATTTAAAAATTGGGTATTAAAGTGTAGAATTTTGTTTATTCAACAATAAGATTCATTAAATATAATAATTTTTTGTATGCTAAAATTTGATCATACAGTATATCATCTTGAGTTTCTAATTTTCTTACTGCCTATCGCAATACATGGGGAAGTTAATCTGCAATTATATGGATTTGAAGAAAGAATTTGCAGTTTTGTTTTAATTTTCAGCTCTTCATTTCTACGTGAAAGTTAATGCTGAGTCATACCTTTCAGATATGATCTTTTGCACAACGCACATCTCAATCTAGACGGACTGGATGAGCTCTTTAAAGTTGCTCAGGTACATAAAACAGATCAAATTATATCTTTTCATCAACTTGCTTCATTGTGAGTTTTGGGGTTTAAATTAGTCATCCTCCATGTGAAACTTTTTTGCTTTTTTTTCACTGAACGTGCATACTTTCTGAAGTTTCACTTATAACTTGTGCAACTACCAAGTCTGAACACTCATCATGCAGCAAACAAAACGTCGTTACTTTCATTATCTGCATGAAAATCAACCATGGCTGATGAGTTCATCTATTTTGCTTCCTTAGTTGTTCTGCCATGGTATTTTCAGGAACTTGCTGATGGTGTAATTCCCAATGAATATGGGATTAATCCAAAGCAGAAGCTGAAAATTGGCTCAAAGGTGAACAAATGCTGTACGGCATCTCATAAATTGCTTTTCACATTTCAAATTTTTATTTTTAGCAGTTTTTCTGTCCCTCCACAAATTTTACTTTCAGTGATAATGCTCTGATGCCAACCCTTAGTTTACCAAGAGTTTTTCTTTTATGTAGACTGAGATAATAAGACCCTCTGTAAATGAACAATGTGATTAAACGTGTTATGCGGAACCTGAATGCTTAACAACATCTGCACTACTTACATAGGAGCATTCCTCTCCTCTCATATTTATACTGAAATGGATAAATCTGTGTACGAAAGCATAATCCTTAAATAGGATGACGACTCCTAAACAAATGATAAGGGATGAATAGATAAAGGACAGGAGATAAATTTCTCATACTATCTTATTTTTTTCTTAACACTTCCTCATTATTTGTAGGAATTAGATGAGAAATCATGATGTTAATGTGGAACTCATTTTAATTGAATCTCATAAGAAAAGTTGTATAGACAGCAATAAGTATGGGAAGTAAGCCTTCCAACTTCATAAGTTGTCCTACAAGGGGTATAGCTGCACCAAGTTGCCATGTTTAATGACTAAAATTACTGTATTCATTTTCTATAGAGTATTTTATTAATGATTATTAAGAAAAGAATATTTTATCTAATAAGAAGAATACATAGATGAAGAATCAGGAACTTATCAGGGCTTTGTAAGTATTTTTGCGTGTCATCGTAATTAATAACCCACGTTATTGGTTACATTGGTTACGATTGCAGAGAGAGAAAGGAATGTTGTTAGGAGACCTAAGTAATGAGTCCTGATGTCTGGATCTACTTTATAACAATATCAAGGCAGTGTACGGCTTTAGTACAGTAAAAAATGGCGAAACAGCTAAACTACAGCTAATTTGTGGCACTAACAACTAATGACAGTTAGCAAGTGATGGAGACCAAGATAGTGTGGAATTCTTGGTCCACATTAAGTAGTCTGGACTGCTCTATAGGGTTAAAGGTTTTGTTCTTCCATTGTAATAGCTACATTTTAGGAAGGGCTCCCCACCCCACTTTGTTGCCCATCAAATGGCTTGTTGGTTGGCACTCCATTAAGGACTACCTACAAAGGATTTTGATTAGTGAGGAAGCCGTATGAAGTGTCATAGAATGGAATTGTTGGGATGTCAACTCTCCAAGGATGTATTTAGATTCTCTTCTCATCCTCTCTCTCCTTTTCTTCTCTTCATCCCACCCTTACCTTTGGATCAAAATTTGAATGGCTAAGATTTAATATTTTATAAAACTATTATACTATAACATAAATAAATATCTAAACTACTAGACAATTATAGACTAATTGTAGACTATTATTAAACTAAATGAATGAATTTAATTAAATCTCAATAGTTAAATTTTTAATCCAAGAGTGGGGATAAGATAAAGAGAAGAAAATAAGATAAAGGATAAGGAGAGGATCCAAATCCTCTAAGGATAGCCCATTGATAGGGACATGTATAATATTTGATGCTTGGCCCCATATCAAACAGTTTAAACTACTCTATAAGATACAACAACAACAATAACAACAAAAGGTCGGCTACATGGATTGCACTATACTTTGTGCTCTATCATTTATCAAGTTTTTAAGAATGTTGTTAACTAAGAGTTCTCAATCAACAACTTTCATAGATATTCTCTCTAGCCTTCCTCTATCTCTCTTTACGAGGCTCAAAATTATCCGTTCCACTCTTCTTACCGATGCCTCCTGCGATCTTCTATGTACATGTCCAAATCATTTCGAACGATTTTTTACCATTTTTTCCTCAATGGATGTTATGCCCACTTTTTTTTGTATATGCTCATTTTGAATTTTGTCCTTATGTGTATTCCCTGCATATCCATCTCAACATTCTGATCCTTGCACTTTCAACTTTATACTCTTACTGTCCCTTTAAAACTCAACATTTATTACCATATAATATAGCTAATCTTATAGCAATTCAATAAATCTTCCCTCTAAATTTATTCAGTACCCTTCAATCGCAAATAATTTCTTTCACTTCTCTCCAATTAAATCATCCAACTTATATCATATGTGAAACATTCTCATCAATTTCCCCATCATGTTAAATAATAACTCTCAAGTGTTTGAACTTTTTCACTTGAAATATAATCTGATATTTCAATTTTATTTTCAAATTACTACCGACCGACTTCTTATCAAATTTACAATGCAAATATTCTACTTCACTTCTACCTATGTGAAAACCTTTCGACCCCAATGTCCTCCTCCATAACTCAAGTTTGTAGTTAATCTTTTCTCTTGTCTTCTAATAAGAACTATATCATCTACAAAAAGCATGTAATTGAGATTTCATCTTGAATAAGTTCAATCAAAACATCTAAGATTAAGTCAAACAAATAAGGATTCAAAGATGATCCTTGATGCAGTCTAATCCTTATAGGAAAGTCTTTTGTTTTACCACCGAACGTTCATATTTTAGTTGTTGCCCTCTCATATATATATATATATATATATCTCGTATAGCTTTAATATTGACAACTTAGACTCCTTTCTTTTTCAAGGCTTTCTAAGATACTTTTCTTGGTGCACGATTATAAGCTCTTTCCAAATCAATGAAAACCATTTGTAAATTTTTACCTTTATGTCGATACTTTTTTATTAATTTCCTTAGCAAGGCATTCACTTTTGTAGTCGCCCTATCAGGTATGAAGCCAAATTGATTCTCGGAATATTAGCTTCCAATCTCAATCTATGCTCAATCACTCTTTCTCACAATTTCATTGTATGACTCAAATTTGATCCTTTTGTAGTTTGCACAATTCTGATTATCCCTTTTATTTTTGCAAATAGGAACTAAGGTACTTCTCCTCTATTCGTCAAGCATTTTCTTGAACTGTAAAATTTCATTAAATAATTTAGTTAGCCACTGCACCACTTCTTCACCTAAACATTTTTACACTTTAATAGGGATAAAATTAGGTCCATTGGCTCTATCATTTGTTATTTTTTTAAGAGCTTCTTTTACCTTACTATCACATATTATTTGATAGAATGACAAATTCTGTTCTCCTTCATGAATCAGCATTTGTAACCAAAACTCTTCCTTTCTCATTCTTTATGCACTTTACTTATTTTAAATCTCTTGATTTTCTTTCCTTACTTTTAGCAATTTGATAAATTTTTCGTTTTTCATCCTTTGTCGCAAGACCCTTGTAAAAATTCTTCAAATATTTTAAAATGAGCTTCACCCATAGCTTTCTTAGTTTCCTTTTTAGTCCTACAATGCCTTTCTCAATTTTTATCATTATTGCACAAATGGATGGCTTTAAAAAATGACTTTTTTCTGCACATTATCATTCCGCCACCAAGACTTCTTATCTCTTGAACCAAAACCTTTTGGCTCTTCCAAAATTTCTTTAGCAACCTTCTTTACCTTTTTAGCCATATCCTTCCATAAGATACTAGCACTTTTCTAGAACTCTCAAATTCCTGCGGCCAAAAGATTCTACTTGAAAATTTCCTACTTCTTACCTTTTGACTGCCACCATCTAATCCTTGGGTTTACCACTTGTCGGCGCATATCAGGGACAAGGACCCTATGTTGTGTTGTTATGCCATCCCTCAAAATCACCTTACAATTTTTATAGAGTCTTCTATTGGTGTTCCTTGCCAAAAAGAAATCAATTTGTGACCTTGAGGCTCTACTCTTGTAGGTAATAAGATGTTCATCCCTCTTTTTGAAACAAGTGTTGACAATCTTAAAATCATACACCAAAGAGAAATTAAGAATAGATTGTCCTTCATTGTTTAACTCCCCAAAATTAAAACCACGATGCACCCTTGCATAATTACCTCCCTCCCTTTTGACATGACTGTTAAAGTTTCTTCCAATAAAGATCTTTTTATTTTGTGATATGTGTTAAATCAACCCTTCCAAGTCTTCCCAAAACAATTCTTTAAGACTGGCTTCTGCCTTAGCTTAAGGTGCATAAGCGCTAATAATATTAACAGTTTCATGTCTAATGATCATTTTTAAGGAAATAATTCTACCCTAATTCTATTAACTTCTACCATGTTCTTCTTCCATTCCTCATCAACAATGATAGTCACCCTATTCCGTGTGCTTACTTTCCTTGTATACTAAAGTTTAAAACCTTGAATATTCTTAACTTGTTCACTGGGCCATTTAATTTCTTGCAGGCATAAGGTATTAATTTTTCTATGAATCGTAACTCCTACCACCTTCATAGATTTACAAGTCTAGGTCCTAACATTCCAAATATCAAATTTGATCTTGCTCTCGTGAACTAATTTCTTTAGCCGCACTCGTCCAGCATAACACGGCAGCTCTTGCTCATTTAACACGATATCTAAGCGCCCATGTAGTGGCTCTAACTAGTTTCTAGTTTTTGGGGTGGGTCTTCTGCACCACTTGGGTGCTCATCAGCAAGACACTAATATTTACATTCAAGTTTAACAATTACTACTCTCTAGCCCAAAAGAGAAGTAGAAAATAGGAAAAAGAGAAATCTGAAGCTGTATGCTAGGTGATATTGCTTGAAAAACAAAATATTTAGAATCCTTAAATCATTGATACTACACCAAACTCCAATATCTGATTGCCTTGATTTTTTCTGTTTCAATTCAGATTGCTCGACGTTTATTGGGTAAAATTTTAATTGATCTGAGAAACACTCGGGAAGAAGCCATCAATGTTGCTGAATTAAAGAGTAATCATGACCATCATTCATCTTCTATGGTAACTAAAAGGGAAGATACAGAGGCAAAGTCAAAACTTTTCCTTAAGAAAGATGACATCAGAAAATCCAGCGCTTTGAATGATTTATCAATGGATCAAGATGATGATGAAGATAAGGAGATCAAATATAGATTGGATCCTAAGTGATTATCTGCACCCCATTTGATTTTGCAGATTATTATGTCCTATCTATCTTAATTGTCTTTTCTATTTTCCACCAGGTATGCAAATGTCAAGACACCTGACCGCCATGTGCGGACCCGGCTATACTTCACTTCAGTGAGTCATTACGTTTTCAACAGAAAAATTACCTTCCCCCTCATGTGTATGAGCGTAACTGAACAGATCATTTTAAATTTACCTTTGAATATTGTCTGGGGACTGGGTTCTTAGTCTTACAAAAAGAAAATTATCTTCATCTGTTGGGTGGTATAACTTAAACAATTTATCTTGCAGTTAGCCTCTTGATTAAATTCAGTTAATAAGAATGAAAAATTTGGTATGCTAACTCAAGATGAAAAGACCAGAGTACTTAATTTAAATTGTAATCATTCATTATCAGACATCATATATACATGCTTCTTAGTGATGTTTCACTTGTAATTCTGCTTACTTTATTGCACAGTACCAATTGACGCACTTACTTCTCAAAGACCTCTTTTGAGTTTCATTATGAATTTCTGGCGAGTCTGTTATGTACTTTACTTCATAGAAGGTTTCTTGTTACGAGTCTGTGTCAGAAAAATTATCAACTAAGCACATTTTATAGAACACATGTACAAATACCTTTCTCTTAGTGAATGCATCCAATCCAAACACTCTGAACTATCCAACTCTTTTGTTTCCTATTTGTGGATGTAATTGCTCTCTTAAATTAACTTCCCAGCTCTTTTGTTGTCATTATTTTTCTTGACAGGAATCACATATCCATTCCCTCATGAATGTTCTTCGTTTCTGTAACTTGGACGAATCTCTTCAAGGAGAAGAGAGTCTTGTTTGCCATAATGGTCTAGAGCGCTTACATAATACAAAGGAGCTGGACTATATGAGCTACATCGTGCTGAGGATGTTTGAGAACACAGAGGTAGTTCATTATATGCGTTTTCCAGTTAGTATTCCAATTTGTCACCGTCAGAATAAAAATATGGTTTCATACATTCTCCTCTTTCTAATATAACAACAACAACAAGCCATATTCTACTAAATGGGGTCAGCAACATGACAATTTCATCTGTCTAATACATATCTTAATTTATAAAAAAAAGAAAAAGGCACAAACATAGCAAAAGGAAGAGATCAGGTTGTTTGAAGCCTTTTGACCCCTTTGTTGAAGTTGAAATAAATGTTATTAGAGGACAAAGGGATGATAGCACAAATATAGGTGCAAGAGATCTTCTTTTGGTGTAAGCATGGAAAGGGAAGTCTTTAGATGGATGGTGGTGTATTCCTTGTTTTATTTTGATAATTAACTTTGAAATACATACAAGTTCATGCTTCTTCTCACAGTATGAGATTGTTGATATTGGCACAAGGAGACTTGTTATAGTTCTATTTGACCTGTATGAAAATTATTAAAGTTCTGTTCGGCTTTGAAAGGAGACTGATTAAAGTTCCATGTCCTATGCGAAAATTGGAATGCATGCGCGGTATGAATGATTGGAGACTTGGTATCATATTGTGCCCGAAGTTGTGGCATGAAAGGGACCCTTTGTCAAATGACTCGATTGGCTATCCAATTAAAAGCTATGATCCTTTTAATGGGATCTTCTTATGATACGTGGACATTCATATATTTGTCAGGAATTATGCTTTGCGCACACATGAATGCTGATATTTACATCAAACCATCTTTTGACTCTCTGACTGCAGATGGCTTTAGAAGATCCAAAAAGGTTTCGCATTGAGCTTACCTTCAGCCGTGGTGCTGACTTGTCCCCATTGGAGGTAATGATAACAAATACTGTAGTTTGTTGAGAAATCTACAGTGGGAAAGGTTTTGAATTTTGTTCATCTCATGGTACTGATATATATTTTGAAATTGAAATCCAATTGTGTGTCCGCTAAGCATCAAGACTCTTATGGTGCCACTCGCTGTGAAGTTTCTTATGAAACTTGCAGTTTCTTCGTACAACCTTAACCAGAAGCACTTTCTTTTGTTGTTTGGAGCTCACTGTTCAAAATACAAATATTTCCCATTTTTAAATTTGTGCCAGTGGTATTTTGTTTTCTTCTTGCAGTTTTTAAACTCATTACCCATTGCATTTCAATTCCATCCAGTGGTATGATAAAATTTTCTAACGTATCATGACGTGAGGAATATCAATAAACATACCAATTTGACATAGCAAGCGTGTTTTTCAAGGGACAATATATGTTGGGTTTTATGGTTGCAGAAGGAGGACAGCGAGGCTGTTTCATTACATCAAGAGCACACTCTTCCTATTATGGGTCCAGAAAGGCTGCAAGAAATAGGATCATATCTCACATTCAAAAAGATGGAGGAGATGATTCGCCCATTTGCTATGCCAGCAGAAGACTTTCCTCCCCCAGCAACACCTGCGGGATTCTCGGGCTATTTCTCCAAAAGTGTACTTGACCGCCTGGTAAATCTTTGGCCTTTTCATAAGCAAGTCCATCATTCTAATGGCAAGTAGCAAACTGCGGGATTCTCGGCCTGTTTCTCTAACATGTTGAATGGCCTATGCGAGCTTTGGCTCCTTTCCTTTGGGAAAAAAATTTTGGAATTAGCTAAAGTATCCATGGAAAATTAGAAATTAAAGTAGCCTTCCTTTCGTTATTTTTCTGTCGTGTTCTTTTCTTTTTTCTTTTTCTTATATCGATATGAATCATGCCATTCAAATCATTATCATTGGTTAATTAATTGATATTTAAAAAAGGCTTCATTTACTTCAGGACTTAAAATTATCATGCTCAGCTTTGATAAACATAGTAAATTAAATTGAAGTTGTTACATTAGAGATGACTACTTTAGGATATCCATTTCACTTTCAGATCCTCAGGTTAAATAAAAAAAGTCCTCAGGTTTATTACCCTGATTAGTTTTGGTGTTAAGTTACTGATTTTACAGAGAGGAAAATGTATCTTTTGCGTCCTTTTGAGTGCGGCCCTCCTCATATCTCTAGTTTTTGAGTGGTGTTGATCAACCAACTTGATCACATTTGGTCGGAGTGTTGACCATACAAAAAGCTCCGGCAAGAGTGACATTTTATGATTGAATCTGCCTATTTTGTTTGAACCCTTCCTGCACTTGTTACCTTTTTTTTTTTTTGTGTGAACAGCACTTGATTTCAATTGCGATAAATAATAAAGTGCATATAGATTATTGTTTTGTCTATATGCGTCCATTTTATTTCCTGATCTATCAGATGCATTTTGCAGCTAATAGTCAGTCAAATATGTTCAATTTATTCCGCTTTATACCCTACTAAATCAGAACTCAGAACAACCTAGCTCTGTTTGATTAGATCCTTTGTTTATGTTTCAAAGGAGTGTTGCACATTTTGTTCACCAGGTAAATATAAGTTGTTATATTGTTCCATTTGTACATATTAATATTCTAATTATACTTTTATTAATCAACCTCATCATACATTACTCAAGTTACCAGGATGTTATTAAAATTATAAGGGTAAAAGTAAAATATTATTTGATATTCTAATTATATGTTTTATTGTTTTAATCAGCTTTTATTTTTAAGGAAGAATTGCTTATAAATCCCTAGTTGAAACAAAAATTATACCCAAGGACCAATTGTAATTGAAGGATCAAACGGAATATTTTATTCATAAAACATTCTGCACAATTGACCAAAATGCCTCTTTGTATTAATTAAAAAAATTTAAAAAAAAGCACAAAATTTGGCCATTGGAGCTCCAGCCCCTTCTTTAGCAAGTGATGGTGTGCTTGTTGGAGCTTTGGGTGGCTAGTGAAAGGTCATTGGAAAAAGTCAATACCCCTTGATTACATGTAATTATCAAAGATCACATGGACACTCATTATTAGAAAGTGCAAGGGTTTTGGCTTAGGTGCAAGGTATAAGAAAATTGGCTTTGAATGTAAGGGTTTTGGCTTAAAGTGCAAGGTGTAAGTGGATTGGCTTGGAGTGCAAGGGTTTTAATTTGGGGTGCAAGAGTTTTGACTTGGCATGTAAGGTGCAAAGGTTTTGCTCAGGGTGCAAGGGTTCTGATTTAAGGTGGTGTGCTCTCTCTGTGTTTTTTTCTATGGAATTAGTTTCACTTTTCATGTAATTTTTGCTCAAACATGTTTGTGAATCTCTTCATAGATTTGTTTTACATGGAATCAATAGTTGTCTCCATAGAATTTAAGGACACTTGACAGTGGCGTGCTCTCCATGCATTTGTTTTACATGGAATCCATTACATCTTTTGTGCATTTTTTGCTCAGGCATGTTCACATTCTCTCCATAAATTGTTTTATATGAAATCAATGATCGTTTTCATGGAATTTAGAGACACTGACAGTAGTGTGGTCTCTATGTTTGTTCTACATGGAATCTGTTGGATCTTACATGCAATTTTTGTACACTAATTTACGTGCCCTTTTGTATATTCAAATTATATGTAATTGTTTATAATTATCATGAAATATAGAATCATTGTTATGAGCATACACTTTGTTTGTTAAAATTACATATAATTGTGTATAATTATCATGTAATTGTTTATAATTACATCTAATTATTGATAGTTATCATGAAAGATTGGGAACACTCACAATAAGTTTTCTCTTTTTTAAGTATTGTACGCTATATAGCAAGTTGTATTAGCTTGTAAATAATGCGGATTCAATAATGAAACATAGAGGATAGCTGAATGTCCCTGAAAAAGAAGTAAATGTGAAGAGGGAGAATAAACAATAATTACTTCAATGAAAAAAACATTAATTCCTATGGTTTTTGTCTGTCTTCTTGCCATGTATGAACAAAATTATAAACAAAAAGCATAGGACACCCCATATTAAAAATATACCATAGGGGTAAGAACATCATTCGCATATTAAACATTATCCTATCCTATATAAAAAACAAATAAGGGAAAATAGCCATAAGTATATTTCAAAATACAATCACAATTTCATTTAATCTTTCAGGAGAATCCCTAGATTAGCGTTTCCTTATAGCTCACTTGAGTTATAATATGTACGCAAAAGCTTTTTGACTTGAACTTAATTTTTTCTCCTCTTCAGACAAAACCTTATACTTCATTACAGGATGCTTCAAAGTAATGGGTTTCTAAATTGCTGAAAATCTGGGTATTTGTAAAAGTCAGGTCTCTTGAGATGCACATCACCGATAGATCTTGACACTTGCACGACCAAAAATCAGCTTCCGTATTCAGCTTATTTTTTAAGAACTCCTAAATACATGCAAGGAAATATTTATTTTCACATTGACAACCAAGTCAACAATCAGAAGAACAAGGAGTGATCACAGCCCTCCTAAAAAGTTTAAAATCAGGTGATCTTGACTAAAGGTCTATCAAGGTTTTAATTTGAGTCTAAATGACAGGATAGCCAACTTCTACAGTACATGGTACTAGAAGGCTAGAACTATACCAAGTACACAATAACTTCATAATCATAGAAATAAGTTTAAAAGGCAAGATTGGAAGAAAAAGTTATTAAAAAAATGTGCTTGTTTGGCTTAAGCATTGTAATTATGAGCATTAACAAAATGAGATGCAAGTGACATGTATATCACCTTCCATTTTTTTAATATCTTTTATGGATATATATATCACATACACATAGTTTAGAGTGTTTTACACCATCTTTATTTCCATAGTTGGATTAATAGGCTGCAAAACCACTCACATAACATTAACTACAAGTGTTTCACTAACCACTCCATTATAGGAGGTATTTTGTGGATTGATATTGAACAAGCACAATCTTGAAGTGTCAGAACTTAATGCTCTTACGGCAAAGAACATAAGCAGCCCACCACATAAATAAAATGATTTATGACTCGCTTCTTTTGCGGGTTTAGCAAGCTCAATCATGTAAAGTCACTTAAAAAGTAAACAAAAAGCTCTTAAGTAAAAGAGGTGTCAACAGATAACAAAGGTCTTGGCACAGAAAATTAACCTCGGTTTCCAAGGTTGATTGGACCAATGTTTTCCCCTTCCATGAGATTGATAAGACCATCAACCTTGTAGATTTCAAGCATTGTACTTTAGTCGGATCAGCAATGGTAACACAAGATAACAAAACACAATGAAAAAAAAAATTACATTACAAACATACCATATCAGAGACATAGCAGAAACTGTGAGTTTTGTGTCCCTTGGGGGATTGTCAATGGTTCTCCACTATAAGAAATAGATTATATGAGAAGTGAAAGCAAGCAAACACCATGCCGATCAAACACATCATTCATACTTTTATAAAGCCTTAAATTATTAACATTACAGTTAGAAAAATTTATGGACTATTGAGCATAAGCATATCAATGTTCTCTTGAAATATATGATAAACAAGCCATGCAAAAACATTAACAATGGATCTAACCTCAAAACATCATAAGCGTCAGGCACTTACCAAAGTGCTTTGGGCAATAAAAAGTTGATAATATCCTTACGGGTTTGACAAAACATTCTTAGTTTCAAACACTATTTAATACATAATCATGCAAAGCACATACCTAGGAGCATCTCACACCATTAGGCTGAAACTTAATTAGGGAAAAAAAAGGTTTCCTATCTTTTGTTTTTTTTTGGTATGTTGGGAAAGGACCTAACACAAAGAGGACATGTATTCAAATGATTTCGACTTATATTTATTAATGAATGCCATGTTCGTCTACTTGAATTGTAGTTTTAATGATAAACCCTGTTAAAGTAGATAGAGATGTAAGATTCAGTTCTATGCCTTATAACAAACTCTGCTAAATTATGACAATCATAAAAACTATAGCAGCTCATTTTATAAAACATAGATACAAGTTTGGATTAAGTTAAGTACTTACCAATAAGGTTAACATTGCCCCAATAGCTTTTTGGTTGTGGGTGTACAAGAGGATCCTTGTATAATTTTGAAGTAGAGATAAGCAAAATACTGCCCCATAAAATAACAATCTTGTTGAAACCAGCTAATGATATCAATTAAGACTATCAAATGAAGAAATAAGAATAAAATCTCCAAACCATGCTCCCACTCTCTTTGCAAGGCCAAACATGTTCAATGTTCTAATAGCATTTGGCTTTATTGTCTATAAGGTTTTCTTGTTGGATTTTTCTCAAGATAAACTAGATAGATAGAACTTTCAAACCAATGATAATGGTATAAAGGGAATTTCTACTCTAAATTGAAGATTAAAGTACAGTGATAATTACAATAAGATAGCAAGTGAGGACGTTGAAGGGAAATCACCTAGAACTCGAAACTAGAAATCACCAAAAAATTTAAAGGTCTTTGTTGTTGACAATGAAGGGAAATTGTTACTGTCATAGGAGGTCATTGTCGTCGTCACTATCATGAGGTTGAGATCAATGAGGAGGTTACTGTTACTGTCATTAAAGAAAGGAGGAAGTCAGATTGAAGAGGATGGTCAAAGATGGGTTGAAAATGATGGTTTGATGCCACCGTCATCCTAATCAGTTTTCCTTCCCTTCCTTGCCATTGCACCGGCCATCCCCCGATTGCTCCACTTCCCAGTCCTTCTTAACCTCGTCCGATCAAATTCTCACTCACACCGCCAATTGCTCCTTCGTCAACACCCTTTGTCACAGCCACGCTCTGTGGTTCTCCGATTAGAGATGGTCTTGAACAAGCAATCTTTTTTTTTTTTCAATTTTATTGGTTTAAACAAAAGTGCATTTCAATTATTTGCTTAGATTGTTTAATGAATAATATTTAATTTATTAAATACAAAAATATTTAATATTTTAATAATATTTATTAAATTTTATTTTAATAAGCTTTTAATGTATAGCGCTCTTAAAAAAAGACTTTAAGGTACCTAACATTCTTAAAAAAAGAATTTAAATACAAATTAACACTAAAAGATGTGGTTAAAGTCTTATTTGTCATCATGCGCCCACATGCCTTATTAGCAAAAAATGTCAAAGTTAATGGCTAATTAATAGAAGGGGCTTTTTTGCTCCTCAAAAACATATTTTAAAGAAAAAATTACCCTATTTATCAGTACGGGGTGCCCATTGTTCTTTGAAAAAGTTCAAAGGTAAAAATACATCTTAATTTAAAAAAAAAGCTGAATAATTAAAATAATATAAAATTATTGATTTAAAAAAAAACATAAAAAGCTATTAGTTGGAATATTTTAAAAAAATTAATTAATATTTGACCTTTAGAAGAAGTATTATTTATATTTATATTTTGTAAGAAATTAAATCAAATGATTACTAAAAATAAAACAAAAACTTGAAATCAATGCAAATCCAATATACATATATTCCCTTGCACCCTTTATATTAGATGCCTTTTAAAAATAGGAAGAATTGGTGAAAAAGATTAAGTTAAAAGAGAAATTATGTCCAATGATCAAGTTGAAATTAAAAACTTAACTAATATTAAAAATATAGATAAGTTCCTACCCATATGAAAAGCATAATGATGTGGGCATTTTCTTAGAGAATATTTACAAATTATTTATAGAATGTGTAAAAAATAATTTGTAAATTTTGAATGAATATTTATAAGTAATAATATTCAAATATTTAATATTTTAACAATATTTATTACATTTTATTTTAACAAGATTTCAAGATATCCATTTTATTTAATGTTCAGCAGAAAATAAAAAAAATAACAACCAATAGAAGGGTTTTTTGCACCACAGAAAGAGTTTAGGAATAAAATTACACCACTTATCAATATAAGGTACCCAACACTCCTCCAAAAAAAGTTCAAAAATAAAAATATACTTTATGTCTCGTTTGGTATGTCGGAAATGATTTTAATGAAAATGGAAATGGATATGGAAGTGGGAATAGATATAAGTTTCAAAAATATGTTTGGTATGTCTATAGAATTGAGAAATTATATTTATTTAATGTCAATATTTAAAATATAAAAGGACTAAAATGCTCTCATCTTAAAAAATTGGTCCAACCATGAAATCAAAGATGAACAGAGACAAACAAGCAACCATTAGAGGAAAATTGATAACCACAAAAAACAATCAAATTCCATAAATCATAAGCCTCATGGAATTTGATTACTATAATGGATAGGAGATTTGTGGAGGCCTGTGACTTGGTTGCTCAAAGCCTCAAACTCAGAAATCAAATCTGGATTGAAGAAGGTTACGAGAGCGATTTGAGAAGGGTCAGAGTGGTGGTCGAGGTTAAAGCTTTGAGCTTTAAAACTGGAGCAGGCATAGGGAGAGTCACCTTTAAGCATCAAAAATGGAGAAGAGGCAAAGGTCATCTATTTTGAAAAGAGGCAATGAAGCTCGACAACTCTCCAACATTGTCGTCATCTTCATTGTACTTGGAAGTTGATGAAATAGAGTCTTTGAGCTTTGATTCTTTGACAGTGTCTAAGGTTCGATAAGATTAGCCATGGTGTCGACCAAATCAAGCGTCGACCAGATCGTTGCCTTCAAGCACTAGATCAAAAATCAAGAAGGAGAAAGGGAGGGAGTGAAGGGCGGTGCAAGACGAGTGCTGGTGAAGACCAATGTTGATGGTGTCATTATTGTTGGATGTGAGACGAGCGCCGGCGAAAATGGTGATGGGGTGGCTAAGGATGTTGAAAATTTGGGTAGGATTGTTGAAGGTGGGTGGGCAAATTTGTCTTAAAATTTCATTAATAGTACAATTCCGTGGAACCCATATCATTTCCATGGGTCTTCTCATAGAATTCAATTCAACCAATTTTGATGGAATTGAATTCTACATAGAAGCCAAATTCATGCAAACCAAACATTTTTTTCAATTCCATATCCATTTTCAATTCTATGCTCTAAAATCCAGTATACCAAACAGGACCTTAACCTTTTTTTTTATTATTATTATGATTAGTGAAGTATTTTATTTTTATAAAGACAATCATTGCCTAGAAAAAATTTGTAACTTATTCATATAAAATCGACCTTAATGTGTTAAATAAAAAAATAAAGGACCTTAATATGATTTTTACTTGCCTCATAATAAATGTAAGTAAAATGTGATTAATCTATTTTCATCTGTCCTCGTGAACTTCTCAATTCCTAACAAGTAAATATTATTATCTTTATAAATCTAGCTCCAAATGATTTTTAAAAAAGAAAAGGAAATTATACCGAGAAAAAAGCCCTTCTTAGTTTCTTATTAAAAAAACATCAGTTTCAACTTTCTAGGGAATCATATTGTAAAAAGGATCAGATGACACACATTTTTTCATGCGACCTATCACATAAAGCAGGAGAAATATGAGATCTCGTGTGGCAATTAAGATATCACTCCACCAAACGACTCTGGATTTAATAAACAGGGACAATCAGAATTATGTAAAGCAACGGCAATCACGAGATTCAATCCCCTGCCGTGGTCGTCGTAAACGTCCCCAGAGCAGAAGCATTCTATCAAGCTCATGCCTTCTCTTAAAATAGAAGTTCATATTCATACTTTAATTGAAATATGTGGGGAAAAACATTACATAGCCTTTAACGGGGCGGAACCAAGCAGAGTTCAAGCGGCTGTGAGTTTCTCAACCTTCCTCTCAAGCTCCTCCTTCTTGGCACCAACCACCCTCTCCATCTCCTTCCCCTTCTTCCACAACACAAACGTCGGCATCGCCTGCACATTGAATTCCCGCGCCACGTCCTGATTTTGCGTATCACAAGCAGACATTTGTGAGCATTGAGCAACAAAAATTGAGATTATTTGCTCTGAGTTTAGAGAAGTAAGTAACTAACAGAGAGCTCGTCCACATCGATCTTGACGAATCCAACATCGGAGAACTTGTCGGCCATGGCGTGGATCGCCGGCTCTATGAATTTACATGGCCCGCACCACGATGCTGAGAAATCTATCACGATCTTCCCTCAATCAATTAACCAAATCCAGTGGATCAGGAAAAAAAAATTCAGATCTCGAAACGACATATTATAATTCCGGCCAAAAAAACTAATAAACAAGAAAGCGAGAGGAATAGATATGAGATTGAAAGAGGGGAGGGGAAGGGGACGGCAGATATAAAAATTCAGTACAAGCTTATCGGAATCTTTGACTTCATTGAAATGGAGCTGCCATCGCGCGGAAGAGTGAAACTGCTCGACCCGAGAATTCTCCGGCGCCGAGGATGAAGCATCTGCAGAGGGTGCGCCTCCCATAAGGCTAGAGATGATTGATCCCATGCTTTCCTTTCGGTCCTTGAAATCAAGCCAAGACTCTTTTCGATGTGCTGAGAGTGCCGACGACTGAATGCAACTGCTTTTCCATGCTATTCTTCTTTGGCTCTATTTTTTATAGCGTAGATATTAAAGTTAATAGCGAATCTTCTTTTGTTACTCAGAAAAGACTATGCGGGGCAAAGCTGGTTTTACACTAGCAGAGATTCAGCCTTGAAAGGCAAAGTTAATAGCGAATCTTCTATCTTGTGAATTTTCAGGTGCGTTACCCACTGCCAGCCACATTAAAAAAGAATATAATATCTATTATTTCTTTTTTGATAATAATCATATCTATTACTTCTGAAATCATATCATATTCCTATTTCACAGATATTTTAGATAGCGATTCACTTCCCTTTTTTTTTTTAATAGATGATCCACTTCCTTAGAAAATATTAAATTAGGTATGTATCACATCTATTACCTCCTCCATTTAAAAATATAAATATTTTTAATTAAATTATATTTTTTAATAAAGTAATTATTTTTTTTAAACTAACCTTATCTTTTCATATTGACTCTTATTAAATATTTTACTAAATATAAAGTTATTATTAATAAGGACACTTTTTAAAAAAAGACAATGATTATACTTAAAAAACTAAAAATACTTTATATTTTTGAGCATTTAATTCTTTAAAAAATATTTTATATTTTTTAACAGAAAAAGTATTTAAGAATCAATTGTTCTTTCTTCCTGTGCACATATATATATATATATGTATGTATTGGTGAGAATTTCTTGCATATATATTAGATAGCGATCCACTTTCTTTGGAAAATATTGGAAAAATCTTGGAAATTAAAATGTACAGTTTTTTTGGCTTAAGAATAATACTAATTTTCATTAAATTAAATTTGTAATATATCCTAAATTTATTTTTTATTTATTTTTGTTTGTTTTGGATCAAAATGAAAATCTAATTGTTGGCAAAAAATGGAAATTTGATTTAATAAATAAAAATTTAAAGGCTAAAATGCATAAACTTCACTTAAATTTTGAAATAGTTGTATATGACTTTCTTATCTTTAAACATTTAAAATTAACTTCCTTAACTTTTAATTTTAATTTTCAAGGTCTTCTACCATTAATTAATTGTGTTATGTTTTTAATAGAGTTTGTTGTGTCAAATTAAGAAAAACCACATAGAAACTTACTTGTTTAAATATTTAATTTTCTATTGGTTTTATTTATTTTTTTTGGTTATCAATGATACGTAATTTTCTTATTAAAGGATTCCTTTTTATTAATGGCAGTTTTTAGATATTTTTTTCACTTGTTTAATATAAAAATATATTTTAATGATAAAGAATAATAAAATTATATTTTTTTCTCTTAAATTGTCTTAACAATGAATAAGAACAAAGTCGCTTAATTAAAAAATTGAGAACGCCATCATATGTGTTAAAAATAAAAATTATATTTTTTCCTTTCTTAAATTATGTTAAAAATTAACAAAATTATTTTTTTATATCATATGCCATGTGTATTTTATTAATATGACATGTCAAACTTCTATTAATAATATAACAAAGTTAATTAGCTATATGAGATTTTGAAAAACAAAATAAAAGATTAAGAAAGTTAATTTAAAATGTTTAAAGGTGAGGAAACTATATACAAATGTCTCAAAATTTAAGAGCTTATGCATTTTAACCAAATTGAAAAAAGTACTTTAACATTTAATTGTTAGTATCTTGTGAAAAACATTAAAATGACTTAAATCATACCGTTATTTTGGGCCTGCCTAATGTAGAGTAGCAAATGCAAACGCTGCGATGCAAAAGAATTAAGATATCTGCATAAATATTAAGTTAGGATAAAAGGGTAACTTTCAGTCTAATTTTTTTAAATTATCCATTTATTCTTTGAATTTTAAACAAAAAAAATTATAAGGATTTAATTATTTCGATTCAATAAATAGTAAATTATAAAGATTAAGTAGTTTCAAATTGAAAAACTATAAAAATTAGATTGTTTTGAATTAATATTTAAAAAATAAATCAATAATTAAGGAAGAATTTAATAACTAAATATTATATTTTCTTTATGGTATGTTTGGATTGATGAGGATTTGAATTTAAATTTGAATCAAATTTTTCATTTGGATAAATAAAAATTTATGAATTTGCATTGGGTTCAAATCCATTTCAAATCCATTTTAAATTTTCTCTACATCATAGTTATTTGAAATTATAATCATTTCAAACATTTTATTTTCTTCACATTTTTCACTATTAATACTTCTATAACTCTTGTATTTTTTCTCATCTCTTGTCAATTAAAAATAAAAATAAAAGTTAAGGGTCATTTTTGCCCCTTAACTTTATTTGAATGGTCACTAAGTACTTTAAACTCAACTATGAATCAATTCTATCCCTCAACATTAAATATTTTATCCCTCATCATCATGTCATTTACTCATCGTCTATTTACTTTTAGTAGCCCCATATTCAAATCTTTTAATATTTTTATTATAAAATATTTGAATTTAAAGTACTCACTAACCCTTTGGGATAAAGTTGAGAGGAAAAAATGAGCTTTGGCCCAATATTTTATAATAAAAAATACTAAAAAATGAATGTGGGGTTTACTAATGATAAACAAATGGTGAGTTAACAGCGGAGTGATGAGAGAAAGAATCTTTAATATTAAGAGATATAATTGATTTATAGTTGAATTTAGGATGCCTAATGACTTTTGGAAGAAATTGAGAGGCAAAAATCCTTAACCCTAAAAATAAACTTATTATTTTTATTTTTAAATTTTTATTTTAAATCTTAGTTTATCTCTCTCCTTTATTTAAAATCTTTAAACCACCTAAATAAAAAACTTTAATTAAATATATAAATTTTAAATGTGAAATTTTAAATTTTAAATTTAAATAAATCAATTCAAATGTTACCTTATATTAGTTTGAAACTAATGTTCATGAGTTTTGATTTTTGAACAGTCTGGTCTCTCCATGACGTGTGTCTTCTCATTTGGCAAGCATATACTACTATCGTTTTCGGCTTCCATATACCATTGTTTTTGGCTTCCAACGAAACGAGTATTGTCAAACTTCCTTAGCACAGTGCCCAATGGAAGTATTATTAACTTGTGTGTTAAAAATCAGCAGAAATGAAACTATCATATCAATAATTTTGACGAAATTACGTTTTCGAATTGCCTGCATTTATGTGATAACTCGAAAAATATAGGACAATCAGATATTCCTTCAACCAAATAAAAAAAAATAAATGGCAAACATTGAAACCCAAATAAATGGAAAATAAAAGTATAACCAAAACATATGCATTCGCATGATTAAATGGCAAACATTGAAACGCACACTAATATAAAACTGTACATTGGGAGGGTAAAACAGAGGGACGTAACAGGCTTTTATTCAACTCATTAGAGATTTCTCACATCCCATCCCAAGTTCCTAACTGTCCCAAGACGAATAGAGATAGAGAATGACCCAACTCGCACCCATTACAGCCCCGAAGAAGGAAAAAGCCACTGATGATAACGTGAAGGAAAATCGAAGCATGAGGGCATTCAACAGGATCCATATTCCGAGTAGGATTGCGTGCTTCTTCGGAGATTTCTTCCGCAGAGGTACCTGTTGAGCCAATTGGGAACAGAAGTAGAAGAAGAATGCATAATAGCAAACGAAGGTAACGAAGGATTCTAATGGAATCTTGTGGTTGCGATATGCGCTGCAAATTAGGACTCCGCTGGTAAGAATCAAGAAGTAGAAGGACCAGCAGTGGCGGAGATGATGAAGAGGGATTGAAACGTTGAGATTGACGACGACTTGAGGCCCGGATTCAGTCCTTTCCATTGTTTGCTTTGGAAAAGAATGGGAGAATCAAGATGAGTTGGAGATTTGATCGATGAATGAGGAAGGAGGGATTTGCGATTCTTAAATAAGAAAGTGAAAACTGATTTAGGAGCTTGCCGGGAAACTGGGAATAAGGTTCTGAGCAGAAGAACGCAGTATGCACAGACAGGGTATTTTTCTAGCGTAGTTTCCCGGAAGCATCCCGGAAAGCAACGTTCCAGTACATGTCACTTCCAGCATCAATATCAATGGAGAGAGATTTTTTTTGGTACATTCGGCACGCTTTCGGTGCCGCGTGCCCATCACCCTGTAAAAGTGGCCTGAACCTTTCATGTCTTTTTACATGGTCCATGCTGTTAATTTAAAATTATTTTTAAAATATTTTTAATTATAAAAAATTATAATATTAAATATGAATTATTTTTTGTGCCTATTAAAAGATAAATACTCATCATTTCTGATAAAATTTGGATACTCTCAATTTAAGCTTTTTTTATTTTTATTTTTATTTTATAATATGTAAAAAATGTAGAAATATTTGATAAATCTGTTTATCATCAATTTGATCAGTACAAGTTTAATTTTAATAACTCAATTTAATATTAATTTTTAATAATTATTACAAATTAACTATCCATATGTACTTAGATAGTATGAATATAATTTAGAAGGTGTAATTTAATATTAAAAATTTTATAATTTTAAGTAATTGATCATCTAAATATATTTTGGACAGTCTATATTTAATATTATAATTTTTATTAGGATAAATATAATAATATAAAAATATTTAAAAAATAATTTTAAATTAACGGCAGAGATCATTTGAGGAAAAATGAAGGAGCCAGATCACCCCCCAAAGGTAATGAGCAGGTGCTTATCAATACTAATGAGCACTGAATGCAGTTCCTAAGTACGTTTTTATCATTAAAATCACCTAACATTCTAAATTATTAGTTGAAATAATTTTATCCTAAAAATAATTAAAATGAAGCATTTTTATCTTTGCCGTTAAAATCTCTAATGGTCAAAGTTGGAGTCCCAGTTACCATTTTCTAATAGCCAACTTTAGGAATTTGACGACAAGGAAAAAATGCTTTGTTTTAATTACTTTAAAGATAAAAATGCTCTGACTAATAATTTAGGGTGTTAGGTGCTCTTTGAAAAATATTTCAAAAGCAAAAATGCACCTTTACTTATAGAGAAATTCTTAAATGAATTTGATATATCACGTCATCCATGATCCATCTAATAAAATTGCACCAATTGAAGCAAATAAAAT